GCTCCACCCAAAAGGAGAAGTTCCGCTTTAAGGACTGGTCCCCCGATTCCCGTTAAGGATTGGCCCCTTTGGGAAGCAGGTACCCAAAATTGACAGGTACCCGCTCCCAATTCCGCTGCAATCACCCGGGCAATCGAAAGCGGAAGTTGTCCACCCACTCTCCCTCCCTGTAGTCTTCTGGGACAAGTGACGGGTCCCAGAAGACTACAGGACTATTCAGAAAGCGCAGCACTACACGTGCATGCGTAGTGGGCACCCAGCTGTGAAATCACAAGCTGTCACAGCTGGGTACCCACACTGAAGATGCCAGCACTGGGAACACAACACGGCCGGTGAAACGGGCTGCGGGGAGGACACCACAGGATCGAGGGACAGGCAAGTGCCTGTTTTTTAAAAGTCAGCAGCTACAGTTTTTGTAGCTGCTTACTTATATTTTACAGTTTGAATGGAACTCCACTTTAACTTTTGGACAGGTTAGGTATGTTCAATATTTATATATATTAAAGCAGATCTTCCCCTCAACATACTGCCAATGCTCTTTTAGGGTAATGTGTTAAATATATTTATGTGTCCATTTTTTTCCCCTCCTATTTTGCCACAATACTCTTATGCATCAAACACTATGTGCCCGGCCCCTGCACCACCATTTTCAAAAACGACATAACTGTTGAATAGATTCTTCTTCCTAGTTCCTCTGTTGGCCCAGCAATAATGCCATGCCAGATCTGGCACATGCGGAACAAGAGTGGCCGGCTATCGAAGAATAAAATTACGTTTTTTAAAAACTTTTTGACTTTATGGACAGGCATGCATTTTTTGACTTTGGGGAGTAAAGGTCTGCTTTAACATGCAATAAAAGAGCTTGAAAACACTGATCTGTGTAGCTGCAAGCACAGAGAAGAAATATATTTCTGTTGTCACAACAAAGACACTGAAAACTAGTTTTCATATAGCTTAAAGAACCTGGTGTTTGTTTTCATTAGAAATCTGTTAGGATGCCAAGTCCCCACTGCCCAAGAAAGCAAAAAGGAGATTAATTTCTCCACAGTGCCTGCAGTTACATAAGTCAGTGAAGGCTTTTAAAACCTCATTTATTGCTTGTTAAAAGTATGTAAATATTTCATTGTCAAAAGCCTGAACAATTTAACCAATCTGACATTTTATTGTAATGGTCAATTTTTATTACACTACACACACAATGAAAGTATTAGTATATTTTGAAAAGGAAAAGGGAAAACTAATCTAGGAGCGATAGAAGAAACATTTTGGGTGAAGTGGGTCAGGGTTTCACTTGCTGCCAGATCTGCACTGCTTTTCCATTTCTGGCATTGCTGTAAGAGTGCATAAGCTTGGCTTTGTTCAGTCCTCTAAATAATGCCCCAAAGATAAAATGCCCACTACCCAATAAGCCACCTTTTATAGGATTATTTTGAGAAATCACTGAGGACGATGACAATCAATTAGTCAACTGGCTAGTGTGTTATATACTCTACCTCTGGAATGTCTTCAACAGTCACACTGGAAGCATCTTCCATTTGCTCACCCTGAAAATAAATATTTAAAAAATTAATCATATACTGAGGTTGATTTACGAAAACTAGAGGGTACGAAATTTGGTGCAGCTATGCATGGTAGCCAATCAGTTTCTAACTTCAGCTTGTTCAATTAAGCTTTGACGATAAAACCTGGAAGCTTATGGATTTCTCTGCAGAGCTGCACCAGAGATTTTGAACTCTTCAGTTTTAATAAATCAACCCCCCAGTATGTTATAATTCAACCTTCAGACTTATTAATTAAAAAAAAAAAATTAAAGTAGTGAATAAATGAATTGTAGTTCTAAAAATAGTAAACTTACATACACCAATACGTACAAATAAAAAAAAGATTAATTAACTCATTGACATGATGGATTGCACACATCATGATGTTGGATAGTGCGTAGAGCAGGGGTGTCAAGTTGACGGCCCTTCAGCTGTTGCGGTTCTATTATACCTCTGCCTGTGGTAGTCCTGCTTGTAACTCTTAGTCTTGCAATGCCTCATTTGACTTGTAGTTCCGCAAAAGCTGGAGAGCTGCCAGTTTGACACCTGTGGTGTAGAAGATGACAGAAAAATCGTCGACTCCTAACCACTCCCATCATCTGGCTATATAACCTGACAATACTGATGTATATAAAAAAAGTGTTTGTGTATTATTGTGACATGCATGTTAGATTATCTACTCTTGGAAATAAATTAATGTGACTCAGTAAAATACTGTATTATGTATATGTGTTGGTCCTATATACATTCATATACATGCATGCAAAAATTTAATATAAAGTAAAAACGCTAACCTGAAAAATCTGATCATTTATTTTTGGGCAATGAAAATAAAAACATTGTGAACAGTATTTTTTACCTACTGTGTTTTTGCTTGTGAAGGCTCTTAAAGTAAAACTAATATTGGTTTTAGGACAATTGTATTTAAAGTTTGTACATTTTTTTACTTTTGCTTTTTACCTTTCTTTTAACTATTCATATACTGTAAGAGTACATAAGCTTGGCTTTGTTGAGTCCTCTACATAATGGCACAAAGATGCAATATCTATATGCCCACTACCCAATAAGCCACCTTTTATAGGATTATTTTGAGAAATCACTGTGGACAATGATAATCAATCAACTGGCTAGTGTGTTATATACTCTACCTCTGGAATGTCTTCTTCAGTCTCACTGGAAGCATCTTCCATTTGCTCACCCTGAAAATAAATATTTAAAAAAATTAATCATATATTGACGTTGATTTACTAAAACTGATGAGTGTGAAATCTGGTGTAGCTGTTCATGGTAGCCAATCAGCTTCTAACTTCAGCTTTTTCAATTAAACTTTGACGATAAAACTTGGAAGCTGATTGGTTCCTCTGCAGAGCTGCCCTAGATTTTCTACTCTCCAGTTTTAGTAAGTCAACCCCGATATGTTATAATTGAACCTTTTGACTTATTAATTTAAAATAAATAAATAAATAAAGCAGTGAATACATCCTTGTGGTTATAAAAATATTAAACTTACGTACACCATGTACAAATAAAAAAAAAAAATGAATAAAATCATTGAAATGATGGATTGCACACATGATTATGTTGGATATTGCATAGACTCAGAGGGTGACAGAAAAATCGCCCTCGACTCCTAACCACTCCCCTCATCTGGTCATATGATCTGATAATATGGACTTACATTAAAAAAGAAGAAAAAAAAGTGTGTGTCATTGTGACATACGGGTGAAACTCGAAAAATTAGAATATTGTGCAAAAGTTAATTTATTTCAGTAATGCAACTTAAAAGGTGAAACTAATATATGAGATAGACTCATTACATGCAAAGCAAGATAGTTGAAGCCATCATTTGTCATAATTGTGATGATTATGGCTTACAGCTCATGAAAACCCCAAATCCACAATCTCAGATAATTAGAATATTACATGCAATCAATAAAACAAGGATTGTACATAGAACAATATCGGACCTCTGAAGAGTATAAGCATCATATGTACTCAGTACTTGGTTTTGGCCCCTTTTGCAGCAATTACTGCCTCAATGCGTCGTGGCATGGAAGCTATCAGCCTGTGGCACTGCTGAGGTGTTATGGAAGACCAGGATGCTTCAATAGCGGCCTTCAGCTCTTCTGCATTGTTCGGTCTCATGTCTCTCATCTTTCTCTTGGCAATGTCCCATAGATTGTCTATGGTGTTCAGGTCAGGCGAGTTTGCTGGCCAATCAAGCACAGTAATCCCACAATCATTGCTACCCCCCCCCCCCCCACACACACACCCCCTAAAACAGTGGCACCCTATAAATGCAGAATCTTGAAGTCTAAGATGTAAAAAGCTTAAACTTTATTTTTCAATGGGAAAATCTGAGCCTGGTGCGATGCCCATAACCACTTTGATTAAATGAACCTCTCATCAGATGTCCTTTTCACATTAGAGGTCCTCGCAACACATCAGAACTCCCCTTTTACATCAGAGTCCCCCCTTCACATCAGAAGGCCCTTAAAACATTAAAGGTCCAGCTTCCCATGAAAGTCTTTCCTTTACATCAGAGTCCCCCATCACATCACAGTCCTGCCTAAACATCAGAGGTCACCCTACACAGGAGAGCCCTCCATCACAGGATACCTCTATCACAGAGTCCTCCAATCACAGCAGAGTCTCCCCATCACAGATTTCCTCCCTCATCACACAGTCATCCCCACAGAGCCCCCCAATCACACAATCTCCCATCACAGAGCCCCTCCAATCACACAGTGCCCCCCAATCACCCAGTTTCCTCTTCACACCAGAGTCCTACCTTTTGGCTGCAGCAGTGATGAGGAGGGCAGAAGGTGGAGCAATTCTGGAGAAGCTGGGGTATCGACCTCTTCTGAATGCTGAGGATGGCTCTGCATGCCACCTGCCCTGGAACAGCATCATGCATTGCCATGGTGTGCATGGGCCTCAACAAATAGCAACAAGTGCATCCTGCCCTAGAGCATAATCAGTTCTTATGGTGCTGACAACTGGCCTGTCCACACCATGGCAACTCATGACACTAATCTAGGGCAAACTGGGTTCTGTGACCATGGCAACCCATCCTAAAATAATAGATGTACAAATAACTGCAGGAGTAATGTCTTGTTCCAGTCTATCTGATGTTACTAGCCGACTTGTAAACAACACTGGGGGCCACAGCTGTCATGGGAGGTAAATAATGGCTAGGGAGGGGAGCGGTGGATTTTCTGAACTTTGCCTTTAGCACCTTATGAACTGAGCATCATGTTGGGAAAATACAAATACACCTAGGTTACATGATATGGGCGATGATTTGAAGACTTGTTTTGCATGCATTACCACTAGTCCATATTGATGGTGCTTTTTGATCTAAACCACATCAGTGATGCAGTAAGCAGTATTTTAAACACCAAACTAAAACAAATTGGTATCCATTTTTCATTTATTGTTTCAGCAAGGTAAATACAGTCAATAGAAATAAAACAGAGGACTTACATCACAGTCATATGTGGAGAAATCTTCAGACATGGCCAATGAACCTAATATGAAATCCAAATAAGATTTTCTTTGCACAGTTCTTACAGAAACAGAAGTTAATGTCAGGGCTCTAAGTCCCCATACACAAGCTTTGTATTTGACATAGAAGTAATTTGCTCAATTATATGGCCGGGTATCAGGGTGGATAAAAATCAATGATTTTTAAAAAAAAATCAAAAAAATCAGATTGTTTTTAATTTAAATCAGATTTTTTCGATTTAAATCAGATTTTTTTTAAATAAAATGCTTTTTGAGGAAAATATATTACCATCCAAAGGTTATTCCATCATGAAATAAAGATTAGGTTTTTAATTATGTAGAATAAGGCTGTATATGTTTAATTGTTTTGGTAAATAAATTCCATTAATCCATTCACAATGTCATGTTCTTCCAGAGGTTTGTGTAAGATTATTGGGCAGTTTCTCTGCCTACAAGATATTATCACAGATGCTTGGTTTACTTTTGCAGTTCTCAAAACTGAATTTGAGTCAGCGGAGATCACATGCCTCTTCTTCACAGCAAAAATGTTATAACATGAACAGAGTTAAGAAAAAGACCTTAATCCTAACTTCTACAAACCTATGAATACAGAATCAACCCCTTCAGTGCTAAATTTCAAGAAGTTCAGTGAATAGAATAGAAACAATATTTTTCTGATTGTTTGGAGTGGAATAGATCTGCACAAGAAGAAAGTGAAACTAAGTGTGAGGAGGAAGGGGCTGACAGTCTAAGCTTCTTGAAATATATATATTTTGTTTAGCCAAATTAGTTAACAAACATGGATGTTTAAGCAAATAACATATGCTGGAATGTTATTGTTTCAGTTGAATAAATCTATTTAAATTGTTATTATTAAGGTAATGATTATTTTTCTCCTTCCTAAGTACGACAGAAAAGTTGTCCAAATATGAATGATTAACCTATTAAACTGGGGATAAAAAAACTAATATGAAAAGTTGTTATTCTAAAAATCTTCATCTACTTGCATATTAAAGTTATACCAGCAAGAATTAGTCTATTTAGAAAACTAGGATTTAAATCAAGCCTTACTGACTAGTGATTTAAATCGTGATTTAAATCAGTTTGATTTAAATCAAATCCACCCTGCCGGGTATCTCCTCTGATTACAGCTCAGTAGCTACAGAACTCTGTAAGCACAGTCCTCATGAACCTGCGTCATTCTGTACAATGAAGTATATGAAGTTCTGGCCTATGATCCCTGTGTTACAGCCTACATTTGTCATAGAGGGAAAGACTATAAGAAGGTCTTTTTTTCTGTCTCGTCCACCATGGGCCTACATTATGACACACACAGACCACTGAATGGAAGAACGATGTAGGTGGAAGTATGGGAAGAAGGTACTGTAAGTCAAATAAAAGGTATTGTGTATGTGTTTGAGGGTGTGCACATTTCCTTTTAACCATTTGTGCATGATGCTGAGTACTTTTCAAACCTAGCCCAATAAGTCTTTGCAGACTTTTCTGCCTATGGCAGAACCTGGACCCCACTTCATGACATTATCAGTAAGAATGATCAGTTTGATTAGATTATCATTCACCAAGGGAGAGTTGGTGGTAGTATGACAAAGCAAAAAAAAAAAAATAAAAATTTACAACTAAAGAAATGTTGTGCCTTTATTTTCAATTGATTTTGGTTTCATATATTTTTAAAATTAGGTTTACAATATTCAAATGCCACAAGGTGATTCGCCTCAGTTTAGCTGCGTACCATTATCGGCCCCTTTATTCTTGGGGGTAGAGTAAGGCTGATATTTACGGCAAAGAGCTTAGGAAACAATGTTTTCATTGTGAAATGTCAGAAATCAGCAATTAAAAGTTGGTGCGTTGGGGACAATGTCCTAAATGATGACCATAGCTGGGGATAACAGCCTAGATGTAAGTGTGCAGTATATATAAGCATGCACATTTGCGTGCAGCCTTACGTACATGAGAAGCGCATACATGTGTTCTGTAGAGGACATACATCAACTGGTGTAGGTCTCTAATCGGATTCCTTAAACTGTAACAAAAGTTTTTTTATTTTTTAATTTTGCATAGAGTAATTGAGGGTTTTTTTGGGGTTTTTTTGCCATCTGTCTCCCATTGAGATTTCCCTTTACATCCTGTCCCATTGCCAAAACAGGAAGTGAGAAGAAATCCGTGCTGTTTAGAATCACTGACATTTTGATAGCACAAGAAACTCTCCTCTGTACCCATACCTCGCTGTAATGGGTGCCCTGGGTGTTCATTGTGCCCTTTCTTGTTATATCTATTTGCACCCTCTCATTGTGCTACGGTAAGCTGTATACAGCCTTAAAACCTAATAAATTCTTTGTGAAAGTGAGGGAATCCCGATGTGTCACCAGAACTAGTGTCCCATTTGGAAGTTTTCCCCTCTATAACTGTTCTGGGATCAACCCAAATTTTGGGACTTTCTTTTACTTTTGAAGGTAAAAAGTAAACAGGACAAATAGAGAGAGTCACTCTTCCTAATAGTGACACACAGCAATAAAAATTGACAGGAGTTCTAAAACCTCTGCACTCTAGCCAAAAAAAAAAAAAATAAAAAGCAGAGCATATTTTGTTCCAAGGTTTAAAGCAGAACTTAATGGTTTAATTTGATTGATGAGCTTTTCATTTTTTTTATATGACTGATCTTCTATAATGTTGTTACTGTATTCAGTATAGAGATTGGTAGATCATCCCTGGTGGGAGGACAGGACAGTCACTACAATCATGCTGCCTCTCAGCTAAGCAACTCATAAGATAAGATATTAGCCAAAAAGGGAGACAATTATTAGTCGGCTGACTCAATTTTGCAAATTTATTCAACTTCTCATCAAATCTGCAGACTCTGCTTTCTGCTTGGCAGTGTTCTGGTCTATGGGGTTAATTTACTAAAGGTAAATAGACTGCGCACTTTGTAAAGTGCAGTTGCTCTGGAACTTAGTAAAGGTGGCAAAGCTTCACTTTGTAAAGAATACCCAAACACATGCAAGGAAAATAAACAAAAAAAAAACAAAATAAAAACAGCTTTTGCTTGCACATGATGGCATGATGGAAATCAGCGATACATCTGCTCATTTACTAAATTCTGGAGCAGCTGCTCTTGCAAATTGCACAGTCTATTTGCCTTCAGTAAATCAACCCCATAGATTTGTATTTTGAGAAGCATCAATAGCACAAACATTGTGAAGCAATGCCAAGCAGAAAGCAGAGTCTGCAGATTTGATGAGAAGTAAAATATAAATCTGCTAAATTTTTCAAAGTCCACAAACAGTGGCTCACAATTTCTGTGCAAGTGATATCCCCAAATGCAAATAATATCAAGTCCAAAACATGCAGATTCCCCCACCATATTGAATCACCATAGACAAATGACCACCATGTGTATATTCCTCCACAATCTGAAGCTTTTTCATTTGAGGGAAAGTGCATAACCCCATGGTTCTTCTAGCAGTATCCAATGAAGCCTGTGGGAGAACATTTGTCAAGCAGGGTTTGGAGATGCCAGGAAGCACATCAGGAACTCTGAGTTGGTGACTATCAGAAGAATGAGTGGGATGATGATTTATTGTATCATCCTAAAGCCTAGATGCATAGATATATGCTTCTGTTTGCACTTGAGAGTTTGTAACTGGATTCATGTTCATCTTGTATACGGATTTTAACAAAAGCTTGCACTATGAGAAGTTCTCTCTCATCCCTGAGTGCATACATTGTGGATGACACTGCTGCATTTTAAAGGAAAAATTTGGGATTGTGGAGGAAAATAGGCATGCCAAATATGACCCCTCCTGTAGTGGTTGGTCAGGTGTCTATGCTAAGTTGGGGCCTATATGGTGGTGGTATACATTTTGGATTTGATATCATATGCACCTAAGTATATTAAGTGCAGCATAAGAATTGTGAATTTTACTGTAGTGGACTTTTTAAATTACTCAGTTTGTGGACATTATATTTAAATTGTGCGTTTTTTCTTTGTGAAGATTTTAAAATAAACAATTATATCACGTTTTTATGTGCTTACCCCCAACTTCATCATACAATTGAGAATAGGCATCCCTTTCCTCGGGTGGCATAGTCGACAGAGCAGTTTCAAGCTGTCATTACAAAGAAAGAAACATCAGAACAAAATTTACCAGTTAAGTTTTAAAAAACACACACTTCATGCCTGACCATTGAGCCCATTTAATCTTTAACTGGCCTATGCAGTGACATAATTTTCTGGTAATTGTTTGTATACCATATATATTGAATAGAGTGAATAGAAACAGATTTTTTTTGCCATCTCAAAACTGACTTTTGTATCCACAATACTATGGTCTGTAGAGTTTTGTGATAAATTCAAGCAGTGGGCCCACTGAGTTAGGGCCCTTTCACATGGGCATTCCGATCGGATCCACCTGTCAGTTGTTCAGGCGGACCCAATCGGAAGCTCCATGCAAACCTATGGACAGGCAAATGTAAAAGGACTTGTGTCCATTTACACCTGCCTACCTCTGAGTCCGTCCAGGCCAGAAAAAAAAAATGGAAATGCCTGCGTCCTTTTCCATTTTTGCAGACCTAAGAGCTGTCACAAATCCATCAGGCACAAACTGAATGGGCATATATGTCAAAAAACGGACATCCACCCCGTTCAGCTCTGATTCAGCAGGGAATATGCTCAAGGATCCCCTGCTGATTGGACCAGACTCTGCTCCATGTGAAAGGAGCCGTAGGGCTGAAAGAAGTGCAGACAGAGCTCCTTGCACCTCAAACATCACTGGTTGATCTCTCACGTCTCATGGCTGCTCTACAGACTTGTACAAACCCATGGTTATAATGAGCATCTGATTTGCTCCCTAATACAATGTCTGCTCAGGCAAAAATGTCTGGAAAAGTTAAACTCCCAACATTACAGTAGCTGACCAATAGGAAAAATATGTTACAGTTACAAAGAGTGCACTGAGGAAATGCTCATACCTGTGGATTATTTCTTTTACGTTTGCGCTTCCTATTTCTTTTTGGAAAACCACCTACAAAAATTGATTTGTATTTAGAGCTGAATGAGAGCAAGTTTTATTAGACAGCAGTTAAAGCATATAATTATTCTGAAAAAAACATTGAGGCTGAAGTTTAATCTGCTTATGATTTGTCTTCTCTGCCCCCTTTTCCCCCCTCATTTAAAATGCTAGATATCTTTAAATAAAACCTGTTGTCAATACATAACTTTTTTAGATCTGCTTATGTCATCACTGGGTCTCTGTATTTATCTTTTCAGTGAAGGCAGATCATGGTTTGTGTAGTTGTAGAGGGGTGGGGGGCAAGCAATGTCCTATATTATAATTTCTGAAAACATCACAACAAAACTCCTCTTAAGAACCCTCAGCCGGGATGCAAGTGTGGGATGGCTCTCGGGAGGAGTACAAATATCAAAATGCCTCGATGGGTGGATGCAAGTCTGAAGAAGTGGACGTTCCTAGGCATACTGTATTTGCATGCAGAGGAGCCTGTACAGCTGTGCAAGACTGAAAATAAGGCAAAATTTCAGTTTTAAATGCCTTTTAAATGCAACCAGTGAAAAAACGGTCTAAAAGAGGAGTTCCAGCTGAAAAAAAAAAAAACTCTAGCTGCTGACTTTTAAAATACAGCCATTTACCTGTCCCTCGGTCCAGCAGTGTCCTCACCACCGCTGGTTTCACTGGCCATCTTCTCTCCCAGGCACCGGCATCTTTAGTGTGGGCACCTGGCTGTGACAGCTTACGGCTTCACAGCCAGGTGCCCACTGCGCATGCGTGAGAAGCTCTGCGCTTTGTGAATGGGTCATTCCATAGTCTTCTGGGACCTGTCAACTTCCGCTTCCTGATCACCTAGGCAATTGCAGCGGAAGTGAGAGAAGGTACCTGTCAAATTCAGGTACCCGCTCCAACCCCACTCTCCAAAGGTGCCAATCCTTAACGGGGAGCGGGGGACAAAGCATTAAAGTGAAACTTCCTCTTTTGGGAGGAACTCCACTTTAAATACCAACATCCCGTAATTCCCTGCATAACAGCCTTGGCAGAAGAAAGGAGCACTCGGTGCCAATGAGGATCTGCTACATATGTGTACTGAAATTGATCATGCTGATCAGAGGAAAGAGCAGAAAAATCAGTTTGTATGTCACTTTTCCTTGATTGTCAATCAGCAAGCTGGGGGTGCATATGGGTCCTGCTGCAGTGCTGGAGGTTCAGTGGAAGCCCTGGACCTAACTTGACTGTGGCTGCAGAGAAGGAAATCCTTTGGGAGGTAAAATAATTATCTGTGCTTTTGATCTGTATATTTAGTTGTTTGTCTAGCGTAGAAAGAATAATAAGAAAGTAAATACCGGCCATATATATTTTATATGATCAATTGTAAATTATTATAATGAAATCTAATTGCACTCTTTGTATAGGAAATCTCTACTGATGGGCCAATAGCAATTACAGTGCAACTCCACCTTTGTGGCAAACTTAGAGTAATATAAGACAAGGCAGCAAGAACATCAACTTTTAATTGTCAACCAGTACCACACTACCATGACATTTCTAGATCCTAAATCTATACTAGTATTTGTATCTGTATAATTGTGGATGATGCATCAGAATACAAACTCTTCAAACTCAAGCTAGGACTGATGTAAACCAAACTGTATAAAACATATGTGCCCTATAAATACTGAAAAATGAATGAACTACATTCATTTAGCTTCTTTCCATAGGTCTGTGTGATGGAGGCATGGTTGCACAATGTTGTCTTTTTAGTTTCTAACAGATCCTTTTGTGGAAGAATCCCTCAGGAATTGCAAGCAGAATTGTGCACTTCATCACTAACGTTCATACTAGCAAACTAAAAAAATATTGCCTACAAATTTCCTTCAAGAGTCATGGCAAACATAAAACTATAAAACACAGCACAGTGGCTAAATGGTTAGCACTTCCGCCTGGCAGTACTAGGGTTGTTGGTTCGAATCCCAGCCACGGCACCGCCTGCCTGGAGTTTACATGTTCTCCCTGTGCCTGCGTGGGTTTCCTCCGGGTACTCCGGTTTCCTGCCACACTCCAAAGATATGCTGGTAGGTGAATTGGATCCTGTCTAAATTGGCCCTAGTATGTGTATGTATGAATGTGAGTTAGGGACCTTAGATTGTACGCCCCTTGAGGGTTAGGGACTGATGTGAATGTACAATATATATGTAAAGCACTGCGCAAATTGACGGCACTATATAAGTACCTGAAATAAATAAAATAAAACTAATTATTTACTACAAAGGGACCTGTTAATAGCAAAGCACAAAATCTCTGTCTTGCACAACAAATCAAACGATAGTGCACTTACTGAGAGAGACAGAACGCGATATTTCTGGGGTCCGAGAGAAATCTGTGCTAAAGCTTGATGTACTGTGATTAAAAGAAATAAAGATAACATGAAGGGAGGGCAGTATTCGTGCTTAAACTAAACTTCAGGCAAATAGCTAAACATGCAGCTAAAACAATTACGTATATGTTTATTGTTCTAAAATGTAAACATTTTGGGCAATAATTCTTATTCTAAAAAAACACGCATTATCAGGTGCATGAAACTACATGATGGAATAGCACCATGCAGCTTCTATGTGACTGCAATTTTGAAAAGGTGCAGGGACCTTTTCCCAGCGTTTCTCACAGGTATCCCACAGGTCATTTGAATAGGCTGCTGTGCTTGTGCAAATGCTGCACACTGGAATACAATTTTGTGTTTTTTAGCTTGGAGCAATTCATTTTAAACATTTGGCAGGAACACAAAAACATACATAACAAGCATTATTATAAATGAACCTGGCCTTAAATCATACAGGAATTTTGTGTTTTGCTTGGAGCAATTCATTTAAACATTTGGCAGGAACACAGAAAAGTGGGTATCATGCCGGCCTCCTGGAATACAGGACGGCCGGTGAAACGGGCTGTGGGGGACATATGGCTGTTTTTTAAAAGTCAGATATATTTCAATCGAAAATTTAACTAGGATTTTTCAAGAACTTACTTCTAAAAAGTCTTTTCTTTGAGTACAGTACAGGATACTGGATCTCTTGGGTTATAGGCATAAGCCTAGCAGGAAGATTTTAACAGGACAAGCGAGCTGCAGGGACATCCCTAGGTAGATCAGAAAGAAACCCTAGGGGAGCAAAGGACCTGTGACTTTCACAGCATGATACTCCAGAAGAAAAAGGATTTTATAAGGAAGTCAAAAAACAGTTCAATTTGCCAGCCATCTATAATCAGTACAGTAAAGAGAGTACCAAATGCGTAATATAAATAATGCTGTGCCAAGAATATGCGCCTAGCACATTTTACAGCGGGTAACGGAAAGCTCCCGATCTCAACTTGAGATCAGAAGCTTTCCAAACATGCGACAGCTGTGACAGCCAATCACAGTGGTCACATGACCAAAATGCCCATCTCCACCTCCCAGCATCTGAAACCTTTTTAAGGGTCAGGAGACACCGGAGCGAAGGGGTTAAGATGGAATGAGGAAATCACCTTGGGGAGAAAGGAAGCCCTAGGCCTAAGAACAGAATTATCCTTGTTTAATGCTTAGAGGATAGGGCCACTAACTCAAACAACTCACAGAGGTGATAGCAATGAGAAAAGCCACCTTGCGAGTAAGATCAGATAACTGAATATTGCTAACTGGTTTAAAGGGCAGCCTCTGAAGGGCATAGAGAACAAAGCTGAGGTCTCTTTGTGTTAACAGGGATCGTACAGTGGGAGAAAGATATGCAACACCCTGCACAAAGGCCTTAAAGTGTTACTAAAGTTCCACAGTGAGTATAATAAGCATGCTTTATTGCATATACAGACTGATTTTACTGTTGTGGGTTAAGGGGTTATTCCTCTGCCTTGTGTAAAAAGGATGTTTGATCCTGTCTTCGCAGATCCTCCCCTTCTTCCATGTTCCCATCCCATTCAACCTCCTAATAGAAGTCTCGGGGACACTCTGCACATGCTCAGTTTGGTGTGTACTGCTAGAGAGTTTTTTCTTCTTCTTGAGAGATTGCATGTGATCAGCACAGGGCCAATTAGCACTCTCCAAACAGAGGTCAGGGTTTATGCAATCTCATAGGGCAGTGAGGAGAATGAAAACTCCTCCTACAAGCTTTAACCAGTGCTCAGCTGGACACTGATAGAAGTCAGAAGACTGCTCTAACTGCTGATGAGAAGAGGTATTTAGCAGTTTATATTTACTAAAATAATTGAATTTCCATGTTCTATGTTCTGTGCGAGACCAGATATAGTGAATGCAGGGTCCTGGGTTTAGTAACACTTTAACTAAAGAAAGAGGCCAATGGTCTCCAATAAACAATGGCCAGGACCTAGGTCCCTTGATACTTAGGGCTACTTAAGGCTAGATTCTGATCCAAACCAGACCTTCTAGCCGCACACAACAGGAAGAAGTCCTTCCAGGTGCAATGGTATACTTTGTGAGAAGCCAACTTCCTAGCCTTTAAGAGTGTAGGGATGACTGCATCTGAAAGGTCTTAACCCTTAGGACCTGGGCTTCAAAAGCCATGCTGTTAAATCTAGCAGTCAAGAAGCATAATGGAGAACAGGTCACTGGAACAAAAGGTTAAATCTGGGAGGGCCCATAGAGGCTGAGAATTTTCAAATACTAGGTTCTCCAGGGCCATTATGGTACAAGGAGGTTCCACAGAATGCCCTCATCCTCGACCCTGTCAAAATGAGGAAAACATTCTTGCAGAGAAAAGGCATACAGTTGCAAGAAAAAGTATGTGAACCCCTTGGGATTACGTGCAGTTTTGCATGAATTGGGCATAAAATGTGCTCTGAACGTCATCTAAGTCACAACAATAGAAGAACACAGTCTGCTGAACATAATACTACACAAATATTAGATGTTGCTATGGTTTAATTGCACATAACATGTAAACATTCACAGTGCAGGGAGGAAAAGGTATGTGAACCTTTGGACTTAATAACTGGTTGACCCTCCTTTGGCAGCAATAACCTCAACCAAACGTTTCCTGTAGTTGCAGATCAGACCTGCACAACGATCTGGAGTAATTTTGGACCACTCCTCTTCACAAAACTGTTTCAGTGTAGCAATATGCTTGGGATGTCTGGTGTGAATCGCTCTCTTAAGGTCATGCCACAGCATTTCAATCGGGTTGAGGTCAGCAAAGCAGCCCCAAACCATGATGCTCCCTCCGCCATGTTTTACAGTGGGGATGAGGTTTTGATGTTGGTGTGCTGTGCCTTTTTTTCTCCACACATAGTGTTGTGTGTTCTTCCCAAACAACCCAATCTTGGTTTCATCTGTCCACAGTATATTTTGCCAGTAGTGCTGTGCAACATCCAGGTGCTCTTTTGCAAACTTCAAACATGCTGCAATATTCTTTTTGGACAGCAATGGCTTCCTCCGTGTCCTCCCATGTACTCCATTCTTGTTTAATGTTTTCCTTATTGTAGATGTGTCAACAAAAAAGTTAGCATGTGCCAGTAATTTCTGTAGGTCTTTAGCTGACACTCTGGGATTCTTCTTTACCTCATGCAGCATTCTGCGCTGTGCTCTTGCAGTCATTTTTACAGGATGACCACGCCTAGGGAGAGTAGCAACAGTGCTAAACTTTCTCCATTTGTAGACAGTCTGTCTTACCGTGGACACATGAACATCAAGGCTTTTGAAGATACTTTTGTAACCCTTTCCAGCTTCATGCAAGTCAACAATTCTTGATCGTAGGTCTTCTTAGAGCTCTTTTCTGCGAGGCATGGTTCACATCAGACAGTGCTTCTTGAAACCAGTAAACCCGAAACAGGTGTGTGTTTTGTAAGGGCAGGAAAGCTGTCAGCAACACATCCAATATCATCACACTGATTGGAGTCAAGGTGTGCTCACTTCTGGCTCCAATTAGCTCTGGGAGAAGTCATTAAGCTAGGGCCTCACACACTTTTTCCTCCCTGCACTGTGAATGTTTACATGTTATGTGCAATTAAACCATGGCAACATCTAATGTTTGTGTAGTATTATGTTCAGCAGACTGTGTTCTTCTATTGCTGTGACTTAGATGACATTCAGAGCACATTGTTATGCCCAATTCATGCAAAACGCCACGTAATCAAAAGGGGTTCACATACTTTTTCTTGCAACTGTAAATCAGAGGTAACTGATCCCACAGAGTCACCAAAGCATCCACCTTGAATTCCTATGTGTCCCTATATCTAGCAACAAACCTGTGTAGTTTGTTACTGAATTTGGATTCCAAAAAGATGCATGTCAGGTGTCCCTACACCTGTGACAAAAATCTTGGACCATCTCAGGGTGGAAAGACCAATCCCTTGGACCTAGATGCTGATGAGTGAGGAAGTTCGTTTTTCCAAGAAAAAAGCAACTAGACTTCTTGTGCATCCCTGGTATATAATGTAGACCACTGCTGTAAAATTATCTCGTTGGATTCTGGTCAGGTGAACTCACAGCTGAGAGGTCCAGATTTAGAGGGACAAACAAACTGCCCACAGTTTAAAGACTTTGATTGGATGTCCGACAGGCTAGCATCTGCCATGAAAAAGCTTTCCAATCTTCAGCACTGGATTGGAAATCCACCAAGACTTGTCAGGCTAGGTGTTTCACGGCTTCTGACAGAAGTGTGCTCCAAGTTTTGGTTTGGAGCCCAGGGCCTGAGCTGGGCAAAACAACCTTTTTCTAGACACTGGACCAGACGGCCTACTTGCAGCCTGGGAAAGGAGAGTACTCTTACCCCCAGTGATTTTCTTGATGTACTTGTCTAAGGAGGAAACAGAGGCATTTTCCTTCAAAGGGCATTCTTTCAAGGAACGTCTTATATGCAAGTTCTGCTAATCAGCATTTTCACCAGAGGACCCTCCGCATGTGAATTAAAAGAATGCACGTGTCACCACGTTATCTGTGCAGTAGCGTAAGCCCACAGCCACAAGTTCTAGGTGGTGGTAGACTGAGTGATTTGTTAAACTGGAATTAGGGTCTCAGGCCATGCGTTTGGTCCACACAGAGTCTGACAAGTGCCCTGAATGCGACAGTAGTTTCCTTAGCAGGACCAGTGGGTGGGTGAACAAAACCTTAAAGCGGTAGTAATCTCCACTTTGTCACTTTCACCTACAGGTAAGCTGTTAATAAAGACCTCCATGAGAACTGAAATCCTTCCCATAAAGTCAGAGATGGCAGCAGAGAACTTCTTTCTAATCATAAAGGAGAAAGGAGAAGGGTTTTGTGTCAAGGAAGGGGGGGGGGGGGTAGAGACAAACCTCCAGAAGGGGGCAGAGAATTATTACAGAGTGCACAGAGACTATCACCCCCACCAAAGCTGTACCCTGAGCCTGAGCAGGCAGGGCCTCTGACCTCCTATCTCTACCCTTGCGATCTGTCATGTGTGGAGCTCACTGAAATTCTGAAGGACCCTCTGCACACTGGTATATACCCTTTCAAGCAAACTATGCAATAAATAGGGATATTTGGTTCACACATATTGCAATACATGCTTAAGCTGACCAACTGCGTCAAAGTAATCCCTCTATGGCCAGTCCTACTCTGCCCTGCCTACGCAAGTGCTACTGTGGACATAATGCTAGCATAGGGGAAAAGACACAATGGGGAGAGCTACAAGGTTCAGGTCTGGCTACTGACCCAACAATACAACAAACAAGAGAATTCTGTGCTCAAATCCATACAGCTAGTGCATGCATTTATCCAATAAATGCATGCACTAGCTGTATGGATTTGAGCACAGGGATCTCTTGTTTGATGTGTGGAGCTCACTGTCCCCAAAAAGGGGTATTTACAACCTTAAAAAGAGTAGAGATCAGTGAGCGCCTAAAAATGGCTGCTATTGCACACTAAGGTAACCAGATAAAACCTCAACAAATATAAGAACTGAAAGGTGCAGCACTAAAATCTACAATAGATTAAAATATGTACGATAAAAAGGTAAAAATAAATATATAATGAATTAAGAATAAATGGTATCAAAAGTGACAGTTTGTGCTAAAGTGCCAATCACAGCTGTTGATTACTTCAGTATTCAGTGATGTGCCCAAAGGTGTGGTAAAAATACGCACTCACCAGATGTGTATTTTAAATAAGCATGTAATATGTATCGCCAGAGGTCCCCTTTCAGGATGGATGAGGTAAGCCGGGTACGGATTCTCCTCCCTCTGGATGGTGTACAGCCCAGCGGATGTCTCCTGGATATACAAGGATCCGCTCTTCCTTCCGAGTTCCTGGGATGCAGGCATTTGATTGGTCAAACCTCGAAGACGTCACTGCCGAGTATGTGAGTGTCTCGGCCACAGCATAGCTCTCTCAATGGATGGAACGCCGTCTGCTGAGAGTGCAGTGTGCATGCGCCAGTGACAGCACCAGCGCCGCTACAGTAAATATCTCCTAAATGATGCACATTTAGGAGATATTTACAGTATCTACAGGTAAGCCTTGTTAAAGCCTTACCTGGTGGTAAAACATGAAAAAGGTTTCACTACCACTTTGAATTGTTAGGTTTTCTCAGAAGTGTGTGATTGGCACCTTAGCACGAACTGTCACTTTATGAATGTTTGATACCATTTATTCTTTATTCATGATATATTAATTTTTACCTTTTTTTATCAAACATATTTTAATTTATTGTAGATTTTAGCGCTGCACCTTTCAGTTCTGGTATTTACAACCTCCATGAATGTTAAGAGGAGAGGAAAAGCCGTCTTGGACACAACCAGGCCCTGTGGCTGTTGGAAAATCAGGTTGTGTCAAAGAATCATTTTGCTGTCTAGTCAGCATCACCATCTCCCTAATTTTGCACAGAGAAAACTGTTCCCAGTATAAGCCCAAAATTGCACACATGCAAAGTATGCCCGGAAGTCCATGGCTGAACAGATGCACTAGGAGCCCCGGTGCAACAGATCTGCGACAGGGGCCCAAACTGGTGCCAAACTAGAATAAAAGTGTCAGTCTGTTCTTTGCCAGGTCCACTGGGACTGGAGCCAGCACCAGTTTTAAAAAGTCTGAGCCCCATTTACTGTAGCCGAGCTCTTCAGTTGTGGAGCAGGGTTGAATGAAAAATTCCCCATTTTGACTCTGTCCTCCTGGACGTGCATACCCCAAAAGCAAACTTCAGAGACAGGGCTCCATCTGCTGATGGACCATGACTCTTGACTTGTACAGCACCCTGCGACTAACGCAAAGTGATGCATGTCATGCCACGGTAAGTACCCACGCAGGATCCAATGCCTGAAGGGACAATACAATATCTTCTTCCAGGCAGGGTCTGGGTACAGTCCCCAAGGCTCATTCGAGACATTACCTGATCCAGAAAGCTGCGCATGAAAGTCACAATGGCTGTGGAGCAGCTAAAACTTGATAGAAGAATCCCAGTAATCCCCAGCACAAAGGGAGAAAGTGATTTCACTCAGGACAGAAAATATCCATCACCTGAGGACACTATCAAAAAATGAGGCTACATGGAATTGGGAGGCTTTATAGATGGGATGTCTCTGCAGCTTTTTTGACAGTGTCCAATCACCTGAAGGATGCTTCCTATGACTAGAGATTCTGTATCTTGTACTGTACCATTAGGAACAAAGTGGTGAGATTTTTCACTATCCAAACTAAAAGAAAGCAAGCATGTGTTCTAAATGTGATTTCAAAGATTGCTCCCCCTTCCCCTTTGAAACCTCGCAATTCAGATGATTGCAGAAATTACATTATTTATAGCCAAGATAGATTTTTCACAGCTGTCACATCAATAGATGCAGTACATGCAACAGTATGTGACACTGGATAAGCACTCTTATCATATACTTTCTATTTAAATGTTTTTTTAAATGTTTACAAATTAAAGAGAAGATTTTTTTTCCCTTTTTGCTGTCAGAATTTTTTCTGAAACACTACATGCCATACATACATGGTGCAGTGTACAGAGGAGCAACTCTGTCATGCATGCATATTGTGTAGAGTCATCAGACTCCATAATTCCACCAGCAGGACGTGATTGAAATGAGACATTAATATGCAATGTTTCATGTTTATTTGGCCCAAAAAATAAAAAAAACCCAGATAATTTAACATACTATAAGAAAAATCACAAAATCTTACCATTCACTAGCAGGTGATGGCGGAGTTTCCTGCAATAGTAAAATTAATGGTAATGTATTTTTTCGAATGCTAGTAAGGCAGTTTCATTTTCTTTCTTGTTGAATACAGAACATGCTGATTGACAACACTGTGTACAATGCAATGCAATGCACTGCACCGTTGGAGCTACGTTTTTTCATTTTCTAATGGGAGACCTGCTCAGATTTGCCATGCACTGAGACACTGTAAAACACGGGTAGGCAATCTTAAAGAGGTGGGGATCTACCTGAACAACATCGGAAAAGTCAAAGATCACCGCGCACAGTGTCAGCCAGTGTCACCTCCTCATTCCTAATTTAAACCTCTAATTACTACCGTGTCACAATCGTGTGCTTTGCTTGGCAATCATGAGTTTCTATCAGGTGCTGAGGAGGCAACATATCGCCTCCTCATCACCTGTCAAACACACTTGGATCACTTTGCAGAGGAGCAGTAGTGTCTGCTGCATATGTGAATAAGCCCTTTGTTGAATCCGTCAGCGGCACTCTTAGGGCTCGTTCACATGTAAAGTTGGATGGTGGTAAAACCCTGTGATGAGTCCTGGCTTTATTGCCCCCAATCCCTACTCCCTTTAGCTGCTGAGGCAGCAGCCAAAAGTATACACATGCCACAGCAGGAATTACACCCCGTTGCTTTTGGTGGGTGCTATTGCTGTCAGTCAAGATCCATTCAAGTAAAATGGGGCCCCTCTGCAAGTGCCCTGCAACTCCATGCTTCTGTGGGGTCCAAAGGGTTAAAGCAAGTGATGAGAAAGCAACACACCGCTGCCTGTTTAACCCCTTGTTTGCTGTACTGCACAAGGTTGTACGTACTTGCAAAAAGGCCTCATTCACTTGAATGGATCATGCTTGGCAGGTGTTGCACCCACCAATCTTTAGTTATTTTACCATAAACATACTTCACCGCCATGATTACATATTCCCCCAGAAAAGGGATCCATTCCTAGATTATCCAGTATTTTACTTTACATTCTTTTGTTCTTTTTTAATTAAATATCAATCAAGTTCCACGCTTCACTAACAGTAACAAACAACTTATATGTCTCTAAATAAGTTTCCATGCATAGATATACTCCGTAGTTATTTGTCTCCACAGATGTATAAAGATAAATGCTTCTTAGTCCACCTCATGCAATTTACTACTTCAATTTATTACCTGGTGTATATGACCAAACCGCTAGGATACTTTGTACAAAGCGATAATATGCTTCTTACATGTGAGTGGAATAATGGATATTTTTTATATAATAAATGTTTTGTAAGGATAAAGCACTATGTTTTGGTCATCACTTTTGGCATTGATCTGATGGAGGAGGATAACTAGGACAGTGAAGGAGACTCAGGCTTATTGGACATCCTGTCCATCCAACAACAATCCACAAAAGGGACACTTGCTATATATGCCCTCACTTAGCGGTTTGGTCATATACACCAGGTGAGAGCACAAGCGGTGGAGGTGTACACACATTGCCTTGAAATAATAAATTGCATGAGGTGTACTAAGAAGCATCTTTATACATCTGTGGAGACAAATAACTATGGAGTATATCTATGCATGGACACTTATTTAGAGACGTTTAAGTTGATTGCTAATGTTATTGAAGCACGGCACTTGATTGATATTTAATGACAGGTAACACATTGTGTATGGGTATGTGCATAGTGTGAGCAATTCACAATTTTATATATTTATTTGGCATTTGTATTCAGCATAGCAGCTCACAAGATTTTTACATATTGTTTTTTTAATGCTTACTTGGAAATCATGTAAGCTGCGTTTTGAGCATATGCCACGACATTGCATTATTGTAACTAGAGATGAGCAAATTATTCAAAAATTCGGTTCGGCTGATTCGCCGAATTCGCCGATTAAATTCGCTTCGTGCCGAATATATTCGCTGCGAATTTAACTTATAAAAAGGGTGTTTCTAGGCTTCAGAGAGCCTTTATATTAGTGCAGAACACTGTACCTTTAATTTAAATGCCCTTGGAGTCTGCTGGGGAAGAGAAATAATACTGTCAGTCAGTATGACATGCAGATGAGTGCCGTCCATCTTAGAATCACCGCACACTTCACTCATTTGGGCAGTCACGGGGCCAAAACCAGAGTGTGGAGCCACAGTGTGGCGGTGGAGGCAGCAGCAATGGGAGGCCATACAGCACCCTATGACAAAATGGAACCCACCAGCAGTGTGAGGAGACCTGAAAGTGGCACATGGCAGAGTGTGGCGATGGAGACAGCAGCAATGGGAGGCCGTACAGGGACCCATGACACACTCTGGACCTGGCAGCAGCATGAGGAGGCGGTACAGGGGCCCATGACAGATTACGGGCCTGGCAGCAGCATGAGGAGTCGGTACGGGGGCCCATGGCAGATTACGGGCCTGGCAGCAGCATGAGGAGGCGGTACAGGGGCCCATGGCAGAGTGGCGGAGCGTAAGCAGCTAAAAATGAAGGCCATACAGAGGCCTATGTTAAAAAGTCCCCCCAGCAGCAGCGTGGGGAGACGACTATCAAGACCAATGGCATCAAAGCAGTCAATTGAAGGCCATACACAGGCCTAGAGTTAAAAAGCGGAAGCCGTCAGCAGCGTGAGCAGACACAGAGACACATGCGCAGGGTGGCTTCAAGTTTCGGAAGCCAGGCCTCGGTTAAAAAGCGGATACACAGGAGGCACCTAGGTGGCGGTAAAAGCAATGGAAGCCCCTCAGCAGCGTAAGGAGACCTGAAAGTGGCAGACGGTGGCGGTGGAGGCAGCAGACACATGGCGGAAGCCGTCAGCAGGTGGCGACGACAGTGGATGCGGTGGAGCAGTATTCGGAAGCCAAGCGTGAGCAGACACAGGCACATGGCGCAGGGTGGCGGTTAAAAAGCGGAAAAAGCCCGTCAGCAGCGTGAGCAGACGACAGAGGCACATGGCGCAGGGTGGCGGTGGAGGCAGCAGCAATGGAAGGCCATACAGCACCCTATCACAAAATGGAACCCACCAACAGTGTAAGGAGACCTGAAAGTGGCACATGGCGCAGGGTGGCGGTGGAGGCAGCAGTATTCGGAAGACATACACAGGACTAGTTTAAAAAGCGGAAGCCGTCAGCAGCGTGAGCAGACGACAGAGGCACATGGCGCAGGGTGGCGGTGGAGGCAGCAGTATTCGGAAGCCATACACAGGCCTAGGTTAAAAAGCGGAAAGCCGTCAGCAGCGTGAGCAGACGACAGAGACACATGGCGCAGGGTGGCGGTGGATGCAGCAGTATTCGGAAGCCAAACACAGGCCTCGGTTAAAAAGCGGAAGCCGTCAGCAGCGTGAGCAGACGACAGAGGCACATGGCGCAGGGTGGCGGTGGAGGCAGCAGCAATGGAAGGCCATACAGCACCCTATCACAAAATGGAACCCACCAACAGTGTAAGGAGACCTGAAAGTGGCACATGGCGCAGGGTGGCGGTGGAGGCAGCAGTATTCGGAAGACATACACAGGACTAGTTTAAAAAGCGGAAGCCGTCAGCAGCGTGAGCAGACAACAGAGGCACATGGCGCAGGGTGGCGGTGGAGGCAGCAGTATTCGGAAGCCATACACAGGCCTAGGTTTAAAACTGGAACCCAGCAGCGTGAGCAGACGACAAAGACGCACATGGCAGAGGATGGATCTGGCAGCAGTATGAGAAGGCGGTACAGGGGCCCGTGGCACAGTGTGGTGATGGGGGCTACAGCAACTGGATGCCAGAAAGTGGCCGATAGGGCTATATACTGCATGACTACATAGGTGGTTTTTATAGTACTTTATTTTGGCCTCCCTCTCAGCAGGTGTGAAAAAGGCCACCATTTTTGAATGGTAGCGAGGGTCCAACAAGGTGGACAGCCAAAAGTCATCCCTCTGTCTGATGGTTGTTTATTCGGCTGTCGCTACGCAAGCAACCGAGCATGCTATGGGCCATTTGTGCCAAGGAATGCGAGGGACTCCCTGCCTCCATCTCCACAGCATACTGCCACGGTGCGTCTGGGTCCTCTGTCTCCTCCTCCTCCTCTACCAGATGCTCCTGCTCCTCCACTCCTGTCCGCTGAGTGGAAAAACCACCCATTTCACTCAATAATTCCTGAGCACCAATGTCCTCCTCTACCTCCTCCTCTTCTTCCTGTCCTGCCCCCACAGGGGTCATGTGGCGTTGAGATCTGTGCGCCACGTCTACCGCACCCTGACCAGCCATTGTTAACAGCATTTGTTCTAGGACGTGCAACAGAGGAATGACGTCGTTCATCCCATAGTCCTGCCGACTCACGAATAGCGTGGCCTCCTCAAAGGGCCTGAGCAAGCGGCAGGTGTCACGCATGAGCTGCCAATGGCTGACATCTAAGTTACACAGGGGAGTATCCTTTATCCGCTTGTAACATCAGGAAATCGGTGATGGCCTTTCGCTGTTCGTAAAGGCGGTCTAACATATGTAGGGTTGAATTTCACCTTGTTGCAACGTCGCAGATCAGGCGATGCTGTGGAATTCCGTTCTGCCGCTGCAGGTCAAGGAGGGTGTGCTTTGCGGTGTAGGAATGCTGAAATGCATGCAAAGTTTACGTGACATTTTAAGGATGTCTTGCAGTGGGATGGTGGATTTTAGGAACCGCTTGACAACCAGATTGAACACGTGAGCCATGCATGGCGCATGGCACAACCTTCCTTGACGCAGAGCAGACACCATGTTCTTTCCGTTGTCGGTCAACATGGTTCCGATTTTCAGTTTGCGCGGAGACAGCCATCTGTCGATTTCTCTGTTCATTACACTCAGAAGTTCCTCCCCTGTGTGACTACGTTCGCCAAGGCATACCAGGTGCAGCACAGCGTGACACCGTTGCGCCCTGCACATGTGATATGCCGGTCGGGTAATGGGACTTGGCACGGGGGTGGCGGCTGAGGACACGGCGGAAGAAGAGGTGGTAGAGGCGGACATCTTTGCTGGACCAAGGACGTGCAAACGTGGAGGCAAAAGCGGCGTGACCTGTCCAAGTTGCTGGTGCGGCTGTGCCGGCACCACGTTCACCCAGTGGGCCGTAAATGACATGTACTGTCCCTGACCGTAGTTACAGCTCCACACGTCGGCGCTGCCGTGCACTTTGGCAGAGACCGACATGCTCAAAGACTGGCCCACCATCTCTTCTACATGTGAATGCAGGGCTGGCACTGCCTTTTTGGCGAAGAAATGCCGGCTTGGCACTCTCCACCGCGGCTCGGCACAAGCCATCATTTCTCGGAAAGGTGCTGAGTCCACCACTTGGAAAGGGAGGGACTGCAGCACCAGCAACTTGGACAGGAGGACGTTCAGCTTCTGCACCGTCGGGTGCGTGCTCGCAAACTGTTGTCTCTTGGAAACGGATTCCAAGAAAGACTGCTGACGGAATCCGTGAAGAGGAGTAGCAGGAGAAGGAGCATCTGAACGAGCGGAAGATGCCAACGAGCGACAACTCCCCTCAGCAGAGGTGTTGGAGCCTTGACTGGCTGATAGAGGGCGATTGACATCGGGTGACGGAGCAAGTAACGGAGCGGGTGATGGAGCGGGGGCTGGGGCAGGCAGAACCGCCGTATCTTTATCACGGTTTTCCCAGGCCACCGAATGGCGACGCTGCATATGCTGACGCAACGCTGTAGTCCCAACATTGGCCCCCTGGCCACGCTTGACTTTCTGGCCACATAGTCGACATACGGCTACGTTTACTTCCTCGGGCGGCGTGACGAAAAATTGCCACACCGCCGAGTAGGAAACTTTGCCCCCGCTACTCTCACTGGCTGACTGACTGCTACTTCCTCCGTGCACACCGGCACCACTACTGGCCGTGGGTGGGTAGGCTGCAGTGGAGCTGGTGCTCTACTCCGTGGCCGTTTGGCTCCACTGACACTGCTGCGACCCTGCTGCCTCCTGGGCAACCCACCGACTGTTTTGCTCGCTGCTGGCAAGCTGGCACCCTCTTCTCCTGATGATGCGGAAGCAATAGCCTGATGACGACGAGGCTGCCAAGTGCGATCAGCCTCATCATCATCAATTAGGGTCTCCGCGTCACTACTAGCCCCCTCGGCTGCGTGTGGGTCAGGAGACAGACCTGTCTCTAGACCGGCTACCGAGCCACTCTCCTCGCCAGTACTTCTTCGCCTGGCTGCTGAAGAGGCGGATGTCTCCCCCCGTTCCTGACCGCCCTCTGTTAGCTCTTCCTCACTGTACAGTGGGGCTGAGCCCACAGCATGCGATACTTCGCTTGGTGAGGGAACACCAAAGGACAGGGGCAGGTCGACGACACGTGATTTCAGTGGGCTTGCTCCCGGGCCATGCCAACTAACGGTTGTGTCTGACGTACCCACCGACCGTTGGCTGTAGGTGTCAGAGGTGACCTGGGAAGAGGAAGACGACCGAGTCAACCAATCGATGACGGCAGGGTTGTCGGTGGAGACACGACCGCTGGATGACACCGGGAGCACTGGCCTCTGGCTGCGACTAGTGCTGCCTCGACCCCTTCCTCTGCTGCCACGTCTGCTCGCTCCTGAAACATTGCCTCCTCTGCCACTCCTCTGCGTGTTGTCTGACATACTCTTTAATTCAATAAGCACCCCAAAAATAAAACCGGATTTAACTCTTTGAACTCTTTGAAAAATATTACCGCCACCGGCGTGTAAATGGATTTAACTCTTTGAACGTACAATAGTGGTTGTGAAGCAGAAAGTCAGTTTATTTAGCACAATCGGTCAATTGCAGCTTGCCGTGGCTGGAAACTGTACGTTTATGTCACTGGAATGCACTAATCACCCAAAAAATATTACCACCACCCGGCGTGTAAATGGATCTAACTCTTTGAACGTACAATGGTGGTTGTGAAGCAGAAAGTCAGTTTATTGTACACAATCGGTCAATTGCAGCTTGCCGTTGGCTGGAAACTGTACGTTTCTGTCACTGGAATGCACTAATCACCCAAAAAATATTACCGCCAGCCGGCGTGTAAATGGATTTAACTCTTTGAACGTACAATAGTGGTTGTGAAGCAGAAAGTCAGTTTATTTAGCACAATCGGTCAATTGCAGCTTGCCGTTGGCTGGAAACTGTACGTTTATGTCACTGGAATGCACTAATCACCCAAAAAATATTACCGCCAGCCGGCGTGTAAATGGATTTAACTCTTTGAACGTACAATAGTGGTTGTGAAGCAGAAAGTCAGTTTATTTAGCACAATCGGTCAATTGCAGCTTGCCGCTGGCTGGAAACTGTACGTTTATGTCACTGGAATGCACTAATCACCCAAAAAATATTACCGCCACCCGGCGTGTAAATGGATCTAACTCTTTGAACGTACAATAGTGGTTGTGAAGCAGAAAGTCAGTTTATTTAGCACAATCGGTCAATTGCAGCTTGCCGTTGGCTGGAAACTGTACGTTTATGTCACTGGAATGCACTAATCACCCCAAAAATATTACCGCCAGCCGGCGTGTAAATGGATTTAACTCTTTGAACGTACAATAGTGGTTGTGAAGCAGAAAGTCAGTTTATTTAGCACAATCGGTCAATTGCAGCTTGCCGTGGCTGGAAACTGTACGTTTATGTCACTGGAATGCACTAATCACCCAAAAAATATTACCGCCACCCGGCGTGTAAATGGATCTAACTCTTTGAACGTACAATAGTGGTTGTGAAGCAGAAAGTCAGTTTATTTAGCACAATCGGTCAATTGCAGCTTGCCGTTGGCTGGAAACTGTACGTTTATGTCACTGGAATGCACTAATCACCCAAAAAATATTACCGCCACCCGGCGTGTATATGGATTTAACTCTTTGAACATACAATAGTGGTTGTGAAGCAGAAAGTCAGTTTATTTAGCACAATCGGTCAATTGCAGCTTGCCGTTGGCTGGAAACTGTACGTTTATGTCACTGGAATGCACTAATCACCCAAAAAATATTACCGCCACCCGGCGTGTAAATGGATCTAACTCTTTGAACGTACAATAGTGGTTGTGAAGCAGAAAGTCAGTTTATTGTACACAATCGGTCAATTGCAGCTTGCCGTTGGCTGGAAACTGTACGTTTATGTCACTGGAATGCACTAATCACCCAAAAAATATTACCGCCACCCGGCGTGTAAATGGATCTAACTCTTTGAACGTACAATAGTGGTTGTGAAGCAGAAAGTCAGTTTATTGTACACAATCGGTCAATTGCAGCTTGCCGTTGGCTGGAAACTGTACGTTTCTGTCACTGGAATGCACTAATCACCCAAAAAATATTACCGCCAGCCGGCGTGTAAATGGATTTAACTCTTTGAACGTACAATAGTGGTTGTGAAGCAGAAAGTCAGTTTATTTTGCACAATCGGCAAACTGCAGCACCAACTGTGCACGACAGCCACCAAAAAAAAAAGGGTGTATGTCACTTTAAATTTTCGATTCTTTGATAGCTGTGGCCTGAGTAACGATTCTGTGTCCCTGAGTAACGATTCTGTGTCCCTGAGTAACGATTCTGTGTCCCTGAGTAACGATTCTGTGTCCCTGAGTAACGATTCTGTGGCCCTAAAGTCTCTGTGGCCCTAACTCTGCCCCTAATACAGACAGGTCTGTCTCTCTTGAATGACCGGAGGCTAATGGAGAATTCTAAGATGGCCGCGATTTATAGCTCCACCATTACACAGTGCTGGCTGGCTGCTGATTGGCTAATGCGATCACATGTCATGATTCATGACTCATGAATGCATTATGGGTCAGCGCGCCTTGTCTGCGCGCCTTCCCAGAGATCCCCGCCCCATCTTCTCTGTCCATTTTCTCCTGTCGCCACACATGTCGCCGCCATTTTTGGGAAAATTCGATTCGTGCATCCGAAGTTTGCTAATCTTCGGATTCGTCGCGAATCTAATTTTTCCAAATCTTCGGAACGAATTCCACTTCGTCATGTTCGATTCGCTCATCTCTAATTGTAACCTCTAGTAACACTCTTACTACTGTAATATTTATTTCTGAAAAGTTTAATAAAAATGTATTGAAACTAAAAATGTATCAGTAAATTACTTACTTGAACTACTCTAGATGGAGTATCAGTAACAGATGTGTCATCATTAGTTGTATTTCCTTCTCTTTCTAGAATTAAATTAAGACAGTTACATAGTTAGTCTGGCTGAAAAAAGACAAAAGTCCATCCTGTTCAGCCATTAAAAAAAAAAATAAATTATAATCCTATACCCACAGTTGATCCAGAGGTAAATCAATTGATCATATCTTACAATGGCTGCTTACCACCTAGTAATTTCAATAGTTCAACAGAAAGCACACACTAAACATACTAGAGAAAACAAAAATCATTTGTATCTGCAAGCTGGGGATGTTTTTGTCTAATTTCACAGCTTTGCTTGTCGCTTATAGACTAGTTTCCATATTCATATATGTTAGGAAGTAGCTTTCCATTGCTTCATCGGAGCACTATGAACTTGTGTGATATAGTTATTAAAGTGGAACTTCAGCTGGAAAGGAAAGTTCTGCTTTTTCTAATCTTCCCCCCTAACATTTTTGGAAGATTTTTTAAAGCGAAAAGGGTTCTCATTTCTGGCAGGTATCCGCACCCACACAATCCAAGTTCAGAATCCCTGTGAAGCTGCAGAAAGCCACAGTCGGCTTCCCACTTCCAAGATGGAGGCAGCGTGGATCCAAAGACTGACAAAAAACTGGCCTGGGTGAGGACAGCACTGAATCCCTGGACTGGTAAGTTTTTGGTTAAACGTCAGCAGCTACAGTATTTATTATTTTTCTGAATATAGTTGGGAAGGATTAAATTGTTATTGTTTTTTGCCCTGGTGTGGAAATTTTATTTCCTGTTCCAGAGACACAATGGGAAGTGATTTGAAATTACTACAAAGTGACAATGGTCCCCAGAATAGGTGTTTCCATTAGGAGATTTACCATCACCTTGTTGAAGGGCAAATTGTAATATTTTGGATTCCCCATTACTGTCTTGACAAGTTTCACTAGAACAGATAGAAAAATATAAATATACTTGTAGTGGATAAAAGCAGTAATAAAAGCTTTATAGGAGATCTAATTCTTTCATACTAATAAAAGGTTTACATTAGTTGTATAGTAAGAGAAGCCATGGAACATTGGTTTTATGCTACTACCTTCAGGTGATTACAGTAGATACTGGAAACCAGAGCACCCTCATATAACTCTATCTACTCCATGGTACTCCAGTTTTTTCCCTATAGTCCTTAGGTGATGGACATTGGGAAGTTTTCTAAAGCATTTATTTTTCCACTACTTCAAAAAATCCTTTGCTGTAAAAATGTCTGTGTATGACCAACCTAACTGTTCACATATGGACAAAAATGCATAAGATACAAATATTACAACAAAAGTGACTACCAAGAAACAATTGCATAAAAGTAAATACTTACTTATGCATACCAGTTGAGAACCATTAAACGTTGGTAATTCATCTTCAGTTTCAGTATCACTTCCAATAACAATTGTACTGTAAGAAAGAGAAAGGTCATGTAATCTATCTTGCATATTATTATTCCTGCATATCCTTATGTCAATTATTTAGCACTAAAAACATTTGTTTAAAAATGTTAAGCATTGAGGAACCACCCTACTGTTGCTTTCTATTGTCCCCGTCTCCCAACCCCCTCTCTTCTCCTTTTTTCCTTTCCGCTGGCTTTTTTTTTTCCACCCCCCCCCTTTTTTTTTCTAGTTTACATTTTTGATTGTATGGAGTCCTCTCATATTGTTTCAGACATCACGCATGGGGATGCCCCCCTGGTACTTTATTATGTTATACCTCCATAATATAAGTTATTGATCCTTTCCTCTTGCAGTTTCACTGCATCATTTTCATACATCCATATGGATCATAACCTCATCTGTGATGTTTTTTGTTTATCTACTTGTACATGTTCTTTATACTTCTCATGTTAAGTCTGTTAAATTTATGCAAAATAATAAAGACAAATTTGCCTTTAAAAATGTCAAGCAATGTGCTTCTCTGCTCTCTTTCCTTGTGCAGGGTGATTGGTCTTGTATGTGCCTCCTCCTGTAGATTTCTGCAGGCAGCCTGTAGTGGGTGGAGCCTGTGGGGCCCCTCCCACAGGCTTTGAACATCACAGTGTTGATTTCAAGGTAATAACTGGGTTTGAAAAGACATTTGGGCCACACGCAGTATTATTTATGTATTTTATGTATTACAATGCTAATGTTATAAAAGGAATCAAATGCGGTGCCATAGATCTCCTTTAAAGTATTACAAAGGAGAATATCTAAAAGATAAGAGGAAAGGCACATCATTTGCTTAAGGGTATTGTGCCCTATTTGAAAGTAGCATTGTAGCATATGATTTGTCAGTTGACATTCTACTTTAAGTTCTGCAAAGTACATTTTAATCCATTATTAAAGTGGTGGTTGCATTCGTTTTCTATTTTTAGATTTTTGTTTCCCCTATTTTCACCTGATGATCCTGCCAGTAAGTCTGTTATTTTTCAACTTCCTTTAACAAACCAAGCTGTCCAGCAAAAGTGGTAGATAGAGGATAGAGGGTACAGAGATACAGATTTAGGGCTCTTGCACACAGACCAGCTGTGCCCGTTCAGCCTAACTGACAGCATGTTTCCTCTGCCTAGGCAACCCAGGTGCAGCATACAGCCTGTCATTGATATGAATGGCTGTGCTCATGTACGTGGCGGTGCTATTGTAAACATGAGCTTAAATTCAAAACAAATGCAAAAAAAGAATATTTTTGCAAAGTATTAGAAATGTAATAGCATTGGCAGGTGACATGTCCTCTTTATGGAGACATCAAGGTCTATTAAATCCCAAATGTCTCCCCTGCTCTCCACTACAGCTAATCAACTACAGTTCCTGCCTAATTAGCGGCTTCCCTGGGTACAGTAGCTGGAGAATGACCGTTCTGAATCCAGAAGTCATGTAATACACATCTTTCCAGGTTTGCAGAGGTGATTAGAGAATGCATTTTCCCTGATCTACTTCTGCTCTTAGGGTTTGGGTATTTTGCTGCAATTCCAGGCTCCCAGAAGAGTTCAAGAACAACTGCAAGTGTTGGTGGCATTCCCAGTACCGTAAAAGCTCTAGAGCCGCCCAGATCACTTTTGCTCGAAAGCTGATCATCAGCTAAAATAAAAAAATTGATACCAAGCTTGTTTTAACCCCTTGTATATCAGAAGGCATTGGTAGACAAGAGGGTAAGGATTTCTAAGCGGTAATATATTACATTTTTGTTTGAGGGGTTAAAAAACGATTTAAAGTGGATTTAAATGCAAAAGCAAACATTATATTGTAGCTTGCCAATTCTAGATGAGACGGTTGCATTAGTTTTCTTTTTAAGGCTTTCTTTCCTTTATTTTCACCTGGACATCCAGTATGACTGCTGTTTTTCAGTAGAACAGGCTCTGCAAATGTTACCAGTTAGAGCAGAGTTTCTCACCTAGGGTAACTCCAGAGGTTACCAGGGGTTCTTTGAGCAATTTCTGCCTTTCAGATATGCTCCCATTGACACCATTGATATTTTATCGATTTGTATGTGGGGTAATTCTTTCCAATGACCACAAGCGTAAGGAGCATTTTTCCCACTGACCATCACACTAATGTATCATAAGTTGTAGATCTAGTATTTTTAGCAGGGGTTCCCTGACAATGAAATGTTTTTCAAGAGTTCCTCTGTGTTGAAACGGTTGAGAAAGGATGAGTTAGTGTGTTAAGACAAACAATTTACCACTAACAGGGTGCTTACAATGGTCAGCTCTTATTTATGCATGTAAAACCTTTATTCTAAAAGAAAACAAAAATGGTTGCGGTTGTTGTAATCGCTTGTGTAACTGCAGGGTGATCTGGTATTTGGCTACAATTTGTTAGTGTATTTAAATACGCTAGTATGTCCAACACTCCCTTTCCCACAGATTAACAATACTGCTGTCAAAAGGTTCCCTGTCGTTTATTCATCCAGAGCGTAGGTAACACAGGAAGAGTGTCACTGGCCAGATCACTAGGTGAATACAGAGGGGGAAAAAGCCTAAAAAAGAAAAACTATTGCAGCCACTACATCTGAGGATTGGTACAGTGCAAAATATTAAATTTTTGTTTTGGGTTTATTAGCGCTTTACGTTATTTACTCCTCTTTATGGGACGGTCCTAACAAATAAGACTATAATGTATTAAATTCTGGTTGCTTAAACAATATAAATAATATAACTTACACTTGACTCTGCTGCAGCAAAGGTGTAGATGTTCCTAGTGCTACCTAAACATTAATAACACAATACCAATATTAACAGGTAGTAAAGAGAAAATTCACATACATAGACAAAAATGCAACATAACTATAAAGACAAATTTACATAGCAGATTGTCATTGCCTGAACAACTTAATGGCAAGCATTTCATTTTTGAGCAATAAAATCAATGTGCTGCTAATGAGCAACTTCCAATAAGTGGTTAATAAATAAAGCTGGGCATACACTGGTACAGGGGTCGGCAACCCATCAATCGAGGGCAGAAGACAAGCAGATTGCATCCCTTCCTTGTCAACCCTCGAAAGCTGAACAGGAGCAGGGGTGGCTGTTACTGGAACTGATTCACTGTATTTTCCTCCTGCAGCAGCTATAAGCTGGCTTCTCCTTTTCTCCCTCCTGCTAGCTTTCAGCTGCTGCAGGAGGAAAATACAGTAGATCAGTTCCAATAAAGGCTGCCTCCCTCTCTTGTTATTATTATACAGGATTTATATAGCGCCAACAGTTTGCTCAGCGCTTTACAATATAACGAGAGACAATACAGCAACAATACAGTTCAATACAAGAGGGTTAGGAGGGGGCACAGTCGTGGAGGGGGGTGCAGTTTTCTGCGCGAGTGTGTTTTATGCTGGAGTGTGAAGCAGCAGTTGAACACAGCAACCTGATCAAGTCCTCTCTGCTTTTTCACAGGTAAATGCTGCTGTTTCATCTCCACCCTAAACTGTATGTCTGCAACGCATTGGAGGGATTGGCAGAGAGGGGTGGCAGATACAGAACGGTTAGTAAGGTGGATGAGTCTGGCAGCAGCATTCATGATAGACTGAAGAGGGGATAGCCTGTGATGAGGTAGGCCAATGAGGAGGGAGTTACAATAGTCAAGGCGAGATATAACAAGGGAGTGAATAAGTTGCTTAGAGGTTTCCAAGGTTAAGAACGGCCGTATCTTGGAGATGTTGCGGAGGTGAAGTCTACAAGATTTGGACAGTGATTAGATTTGGGGCTGAAAGAACAGATGGGAGTCTAGGATTACACCTAGTACCCTTGCATGAGGGGAGGGACTGATTGATCTTGATGGAGAAGTCAGGGGAGGTGGCACGGGCTGGAGGGAATAGTAAGAGCTCAGTTTTGGAAATATTTAGTTTGAGGAAGTGGAGTGACATCGACGCTGATATACCCCTCCTATCCAGGTTCTATATCCTTCTGCTGCCTAGGCACCCCTGTGTACTCCCCTGGTGTCCCACTCCTCGCAGCGATACCAGCTTTCCCTCCTCTCCCGCTGGCTGCTCACTATGTTCATTCATACCTGAAGCATAGTATACTGTGTTTACAATGCTTCAGCTTTTGAATGAACAGGTACAGAGCTTTAGCTGTAAAATCCCCCCAATAAAAAAAAAATAAAATTGTAAAAAATAATAAAATAACAAAAATAATAAACTACTGACAAAGTCCACTGCTCTACTGACACAGTCCTCTTGCTACTGACACTGTCCACACACCTTCCACTGCCCTACTGACACCGTCCACTTGGTACTGAGACTATCCACACACCTTCCACTGCCCTACTGATACTGTCCAGTTTCAACGTAGGCTGTTTATATTTTTACATTGGTTTTAATATAGTCTTCTAAGCTTTCCTTTCTATTTAGTTAGGCCTTGCTAGTTAATTTCTTTCATGTTGTTCAGGTAGATCTCCACCTCAAAGGTTGTCTAACCCTGCACTAGTAGATTTCTGAAGAACATTTGTAAGAAGATTCATGTGAAAATTAGGATCAGTACATTTGATGACTTAGCAAATGGTGTACTTCAAAATTGAATTTGCTTTTAACATTCTAGTTTGGAATGAATGGACTTTCCTTAACAAAAACTACATTCACTATTAGAAATTTGTTTGTTCAAGGAAAACTTTTCATTCTGTTCCATCAAATTTTCTTATCATTGGGGTCAAAAACAAATGTCATTTGACACCACTAACAATCAGAAAATCAAAGAAATGTTCTGAAAACAAGTATTTTCTAACAAAATTCTACTAGTGCAGAAGCCAGCTTTACTTGCTATACATACACTGCATGAGCAATTACATGCAAATGGTTGTGAATAGCTGGGGGTGCTGTCAGGCTCCCTTTGCTTTCAATGGGGCTTTCTGTCTGCACCGATTTGCATGGATCCAGGCTGAGTTTCCTAGCAGGTTAATGAAAATGGCCCCAAGTGTGATTGGGGCAGAAGGATACAAAGTGGTGTTTTTTTTTGCTTGAACTTGATCAACATCTATCATTTTCAGCTGGACCATACACTTGATTTTAGAAGAAACTATTTCATGCTGAGACACAGCAGTGCTAAGACAGAGAATGGATGTTAATTTTTTTATCTATAATTACAGTACTGACCATTTGTTCATGATATGTATGATCTGACAGTGTGTGCTTCTTCTCTGACTCAGCTCTCATTCCTGCATTCTGTTCGGCTGCTAAAAACAAGATAAATTATAAGTAAACAGCATTGTGTGCCTTGTGAGCACAACATATACTCACTGCAACCAAAAACAAAACTAAACATTTAAAAAGCTATTACTGCTATAAGGTCTCATGCACATGAGCATGTAAAAACACCAATATATTTTGGTGCCCGGGAGATTATCCACCAAGAGCAAGCATTCCATTTTTATGAAAATGATTTTGTTGATGGAACAGATCATTTAATGCAATTGATTTTTCAAGGATTCAATGATGTATTTGAAACATTTGAGACGCTGCATAATTGCATTGTTAATTGTATGGCCAGCATTGAAGCTTTTCCATGTTTTTGGTTTTCAAAATCCCTATGATCAATTGCTAATGGAGATCACACCCCGGTGATGGAACAAGCACCTAAATGATCCCGTATTTTAAATTTTGGGATTATAAACATTGGGTAGTATTTGGTGTAGGCAGTGCAACTGAAAATCATTAGTGTAGGCTAGAGCAGTGCTGATTTTCCAGCTCTCCGTATCTCATCACAGGTTAAATTTGCTGTGTGCCTCTACGAAAATATATACACCTGGACAGAATCCCAGTGAGTACGGTTTTAACCACTTGCCGAACCGACGCAGTGCATTTACTGCGGCAGGTTGGCTTGTACAGGCACAATCACGCACATGTACATCACAGCTTTCTTCTGGAAGATTGTGCTGTCAATCACTGCAGCACAAGCTGAACAGCGGTCCAAGCAATGATCTATACCCAGAACCCGCTGATCGGCTCAGGGAATGGCAGGAGAGAACTTGTTGATAAACAACACAGAGCACTCTTCAGACAGCAGCAATGTGACGTTTTTTTTTTTTTCCCTGCAAAGCAGGAAGTGAAAACCGACACATTGCTTAATAAAACTGCACAAAGTAAACACATTAAACACTGTTAGGCACACCTTTACCCCCCTAGATGTTAACCCCTTCCAAGCCAGTGTCATTAATACAGTGACAGTGTATATTATTAGCACTGATCACTGTATAAGTGTCACTGGAGATGTCAGTGACAGTCTCCCCCAACAGAGTCAGTTATTGTCAGATTGAGTGGTGCACTAGCGCAGTCCCACTATAAGTCATTGATCGCCGCCATTATTAGTATAAAAAAAATAAATAAAAATTCCAGCATCTATACCATAGTTTGTAGACACTATAACTTTTCAAACCAAATATACACTTACTGGGATTTTTTTTTTCTACCAAAAGACATGTACAGTAGTAGAACACATTTGTGCCAAAATATATGAAGACAATTGTTTTTTTTTAATTTTTTTATTGGATGTGTTTTATAGCAGAAAGTCAACTCTTTTTTTTTTTTCAAAATTGTGGGTATTTTTTCATTTATATCACAAATAAATTAAAAACCTAGTGGTGATCAAATACCACCAAAAGAAAGCTCTATCTGTGTGAAAAAAAATGATCTAAATTTTGTTTGTGTACAGCGCTGCATGACCGCACAATTACCAGTTAAAGTAGCACAGTGCCGAACAGCAAAAAATGGCCTGGACATGAAGGGGGGTAACATCTTCCTAAGCTTAAGTGGCTGAACAATGTAATAGTGAAAATTATTACACACCTGAAAATCCACTCTGTTAGTCTAATGCATGAATATTACATACAGTATACTGGAAGGGTTAGAACCTTTTAGGTTAGGTTTCATTATACTAACTATCCTCTACATATAGTCAGAAATAAAAAAGGTATAAAAACATTCAAACAAACATTATGAATGCTCTACCAATCCTCAATGACAATACAGTGCAGACATACTTATCTGAGTGGCGTGGGAACCATTTGACTCCAATGATTCTGCATCAGGTTCAGAATCACTTCTAATAATAAGATCTCTGCTGAAAAGAATTCAGAATTTTACATCAGTACAGTTCCAATCTACAATGAAATTTAAACCTCTTTGTTCCTCATTATCAGTAAGGTTACCCCCACAAGAGAAGTACGTTGCAATTTTTGTCTCAGTATGGCCATTTCTTATAGGCCAAGTTCACCTTCAAGAAAAACATTTTGGCAGGAATAAAATGTGCATTAGTTATTTTTCCCCACAGAAGCCCACAAAACAGTGCACCCGTGATCAGAGAGTCGCGGATGTAATGTCAGGATTCTACACACTCTCCCTCCAGCTATCTTGTAACCTCTGTACAGGCTTTTGGTTAGAAAGAAGTGTCAGGGGACTATGAGTGCATTGATCAGTGCACTTGTAATCCGCTGAGTACTACAAGCCCATCTTCCACGGTGACAGACAGGACTTGTAGTTTATTCAAAGATCTCTGTTACTGAATGATGCAGCTGTGTGGGTGGAGCCACACATGGCCACACCTATTTTAAATGTGAACTGAAACCCCATGCGCTGTCACAGGAGGGGGCTCTGGTGGTGGGAGATGCTTGCTTAGGAACAAGTTACATCCTAAATATGAGTCTAACCTGTTCCTGAAGATGAACTTAGCCTTTAAACCGGTCATACATGCACAGATTTCTTTTGTTCAGCCAAGAGGCTGAATGTAAGAAATCTGACAACTTTCTGTATCAATCGTCCCTGAAGGCTACTGTATTCTGACAGCTGTGCCCACAGCTGTCAGAATACCAAAATAATGACTGTAGCCCCCAACTTAGAGGGTTTCCTGCAAATCTCCACAAATCTGTACTCTACAGTTGTGTCCAAAATTATTCAACCCCCAATGCTGTAAAGGGGTTTAGGGACTATAGTGTACATTTGGAATTGTATTCAGAATCAAATCCTACAAGGACGTTGTAACTACCCAAATGCAACTAAAATGACATCAATTGTTTATGTAATACAGTAGTAAATGGGTCTTATGTGGTTTCTTCATTGCCACAATTATTCAACCCCTTAAAGACTACCACTCTGAAGAACAGAGGTTCATACAGGTGCTTTCCATCAGGTATTGAAAACACCTGTGGATGTCACCGAGCAGCAATCAAGCATAATAAGCACCAATTAGGCAGCTTTAAAATGACTGTGATACTCAGCTCCTTCTAGACATTTACTGGTGTGGTTACAAACATGGTGAAGGCAAGAGAATGGTCCAGGAAGACAAGAGAAGAGGTGATTTCTCTTCACAGGAAGGGCAATGGCTATAAGAAGATTGCAAAGATGTTAAACATACCAAGAGGACACCTTAGGAAGCATCATTCGCAAATTCAAGGCAAAGGGCACTGTTGAAACGCTACCTGGTCGTGGCAGAAAGAAGATGCTGACTTCGACTGCTGTGCGCTACCTGAAGCGTAGAGTGGAGAGAAGTCCCCGTGTGACTGCTGAGGAACTGAGAAAAGATTTGTCAGATGTGGGTACAGAAGTTTCAGCCCAGACAATAAGACGCACACTGCGTAATGAAGGCCTCCGTGCCAGAACTCCCAGGCGTACCCCCTTGCTGTCTCCAAAGAATAAGAAGAGTCGACTGCAGTATGCCAAAAGCCATGTGGACAAACCACAAAAGTTGTGGGATAGTGTTCTGTGGACTGATGAAACAAAATTAGAACTGTTTGGGCCCATGGATCAACGCTATGTTTGGAGGAGGAAGAACAAGGCCTATGATGAAAAGAACCCTTGCCTACTGTGAAGCATGGTGGAGGGTCAATCATGCTTTGGGGCTGTTTTGCTTCTGCAGGTACAGGGAAGCTTCAGCGTGTGCAAAGGTACCATGAATTCTCTTCAGTACCAGGAGATATTGGATGGAAACGTGATGCAGTCCGTCACACACCTGAGGCTTGGGAGACGTTGGACCTTTCAACAGGACAATGATCCCAAGCATACCTCCAAGTCCACTAGAGCATGGTTGCAGAGGAAAGGCTGGAACATTTTGGAGTGGCCATCGCAGTCACCAGACTTAAATCCGATTGAGAACCTCTGGTGGGACTTAAAGAAAGCAGTTGCAGTGCGCAAGCCTAAGAATGTGACTGAACTGGAGGCCTTTGCCCATGAAGAATGGGCGAAGATACCCGAAGTATCGATCGCTGCAAGACACTTGTGTCAAGCTATGCTTCACGTTTAAAAGCTGTTATAACTGTAAAAGGATGCTGTACTAAGTACTAAGATTGAATGTCACTTGGGGGTTGAATAAAACTGATAATGCTGTGAGCACAGAAAAGACATTTGTGGTTATTTCATTATAACTGTTATGTTATATTTGTCTGACCTACAAGTGCCTCTTTAATGTAAATGATTAAGCAAGATGACTGAATGATCAAAAGCAATGTCAAACTGGCCAAAACACTCAATTTCAGTGGGGGGTTGAATAATTTTGGACACAACTGTATGTACAACCTTCTAACACCCCCCCCCCCCCCCTTCCCCTATAATGAACATGACCAGGTCTGCTCCTGGTCATTACTGTAATGTTTCCCCAGAAGATGAGGTCCTATGAACCATGTCTCTTTGTACCCCTCCTACTTGTCACCTAAGATGAGATTTGCATTATTCATGGTAGGAAAAATTCTGATTACAGAAACACAGATTCATTCATGATGTAATAACAATTCAACTTACATATGTAAAGGGCGTGTCCTAGATGGTCCTGGGACTTCCTAGACATCAATCACATCAATAAATTAAACTTAAATACCGTGCAGTGTTTACATTCATTTGCTGTAACAGGGAAGTTATGGAATTAAATCATTAGAAACCTTTATCTAGAGAGTTTCCAAATATATGCCAAAAACAAATTCTGCACAATATTAATAATTTTGCATATACACACAATCACTAAGAATTAGGCCCTTTTCACACAGATGGTCCAGTCAGGTCTGCTTGTCATTTTTTTAGGCAGACCTAATTGGAGGTTTCATATGCTTTTATGGGACCTGAATGTAAATGGACATGTGTCCCCAAATCCTGCACCCTATTCCATAATTTTGAACCAATCAGATGTAGTCCCATGCTCGTTTATGTCCTGTGCCTCCCATAGGTCTAGTATGGCTCAAGATATCTTTGGTTTATTAATTCAGCAGAAAACAATGGACGTGGATGCTGCAAAAGTGACATCTATTACGTTCTGCTCTGATTCAGTAGAGGATCCGTTCATGCATTCCCTGTTGATCGGACTGCACAGCACCCATGTGGAAGGGGCCTTCAAAGAGAAGTTCACTTTATAAAAAAAAAAAAAAAAAAAAGAAGCCCATATTTTTTTTGCAGGTAACAAAAATGTGCATTTACTATTTTTTTGGAGCCTGGAAAGCATTGCACCAGTGATGAGCAGATCGCTGGTGCCATGCAGGACTCCTACAAACCCGTCAGTGTATCTGTGTGCTCTTACCTCATAAGGCTGTTGGGACTTGTAGTTCATTTATTCACAGAACTCTGTGGATGAATGATGTAACCATGCGAGCAGAGCCCCATACAGCCACTTGTTTTCAAAAAGTGACAGCTGGTACAGGGAACTTCTCCTCATGCTGCTGTCACAGGGAGAGAGGGCAGCAGGCAGCAGCTGAAGCAGTAGGAACATGCTATATAGTCCACCCTAAAAATGGGTGGAACATATACTGTAACATGTTCCCAAAGGTGAACTTATTCTAATTGCTGCAATTACAGTGGAAGGTACAGAGAACAACCCAAGGAAAAGTGCCTGAATTACTGATTCTTCTCTACTTCATGACTCCATTCAGATGAACAAATAACAGTGAGCAGGGGTGGCCACTGGCAAGAATCAGTAGAGTTGTGCCAGTGGTTGTACGCGCTCCCTGCACACTGCATGCAAACAGCTGCAATTTGCGACTGTCAAATTTATGTTCACATGTAATGGCTCAACTGAGCTGTTACATGCTAACAGAGCCTCAGACTGACCCTGGAAGCACTCAGTAGGTGTCTGGGCCACGTCTGTGAAGTTATGACTGCACACAAATTGGCCACAACTGAGCGGCTAGTTTGCATGCGGCCATAGCACAGAGTGTTGCTGCATCCAGAGGCAGCGTTTAGCTATCTGCTGCTATTCTGCCATCTGAATGTAGCCTCTGGGAAAACCAAGAAGAATTCCAAATTCCATCAGGTACAGTACTAAAAGTAGATCTGAAAAGGTAGTTCCCAGGAGCACTTGTCTGAACAGACAGACACAGTCTGAAAAATAATACTGGGTACTGGAGCAGATAATTACAAATCACCACAGAACTCACCTTGTCTTTTTCATTTGTATGGATTGCTGAGTCATAACGCATTTCTGCATTTCTCTCAGTTCCTGAAAACAGAATAAAGTGTAAGCAAATGTCTTTCAAATTCTTTATCTAAAAGCAAAGAGTTAGCAATCACACTCAGGAGCATATCCTTCCTGAACTCTCTGGCAACGTTTCTTCATTGACAATGGTGGGAATATGGAAAGGTTAATATACTTCTGCACCACTACCATAACCACAACCAGGTGCTCAACAGTAAAAAAAACAGGCAACCCTAATGTCATTTTCTTTGTTTGACCAATACAATTTTAATTTTTTTCCTCACACCAGGAGTCTATAGCCAGAATATCCCAGAATTCTCATTTGCTCCACCTGAAACTGGTTTGCTTCTGTTTCCAAAGTTGTGCATTGATGCTAAGGTCCAGTTGTATACAACCTGATTTGTGAACTTGGAAACCCCTGATGTCAACACAAAACAAAAGATAGGGTAGCTGAAAAACCTTACTAGTTTATAGTCATCTACTATTAACCTACTCATATCCGAAAAATTAACCTGATGCAGCTGGAGAGACCAGTAAAAACTGGTTGGTTATACATGAGTCTGTTGCATGCAATACCATTTGAGAACAGTACCTAGTATAGTGGTGAAAAACAGCTATTTTACTATCACCGTGAAAGCATATGCGCACACTTTTGTGGACATGAATGCACTCCTGTTTGAATTCGTTGGGAAACGTGACTGTCATTCTGCGTGTAATATTATGGTAGAAATTTAGATGTGGCTGCTGAAAAACGGTCATTCTGCATGTGTTATTGAAATCTTTATTTTATATGGTTTGCAAAGCTTATTAAACATTTTAACTACTTGTAAATATGCTGCATTTGGTGATCAAAATGATTTTGTTGAGTTAGTTTCACATAAAGCGTCACAAAACAAAGGATTTATGGACACATTGATGGGAAATGTGCCAAAATAAACAGAACTACACCTTTGACAAATTCCTTTCTGTTCGCATCGTACACATGAAATAAAAGTGATGACTGCCAAATAAAAGATTACAATTTTAGCTTCGGAACAGATTTGTGGTTACAGTTCTATATCAGACTCCGGGCAAATTCTTTTTCCAGTTATAATATAAAAGATGACTGTTGCTCAGGAAGGAATGACTGCGGCATAGTGGACAACATTCATGTTGTTCTGCTCGGGCAGAATTCATTACTAATGAAATGATGATGTCATTGGATGGATAACTGGATGTACACAATATACATCACTGTCCCATGTAGATAGCACTCTCCTTGACATTAGGGGAACAGTCTTCTGGAAAAAGCTTCATTGCAGGTTAGTTTTGTTGAAGAAGTGACCACAGAGAATTTAAATTTGAATAGGGCCCTAGGCATGGTAGCAGCTTTGGCAGAAGTTTTGGAAGAGCTTATGACCACCAAGGGTTCTCACGGATCATCAGGGTAGTCAGAATGCTCTTCACTTCCACAAACCGGACCGTGGGTTTTTTTCCAAACTGCTTGCTTGGCAGCTATAAACAAATACGTTGGACAATTTATGCTGGCAAGAGAAGAGTTCTGGGATTGAACAATGGAGGAGCTCTTGTCTAGCGTCTTTGTGACACATGTGAAGGCACATGGAAGGATAAGGGTTTCAATAGGCACATAGAAGATGCCCTATTTGCCTTTCTGTACTAGCATGGCCACACCACATCAGACACCAACTACCTACAATTGAAACCCCTCTTGTGATGAGACAGGTCAGTGCACAGCTTTGACCACTTGTGACATAGATTGGTTTGAATGAAAGTTGGAAGCTGGGCCCCCTTACTTGCCATTGTGCCCTAAACTCCTGCTTTAGTTGCTTTGTGGATGACCCAGCTCTGAGTCATCTGGATCACTTTATGTGAATTGTTAATCACCTGTAATTTTGTCATTTTAAAAAGCATAATACTGTATTTGCAAGTCATCGATCTTATGCTCTTATCTGTATAACTGACAATGGTCACAAGCTGTATTCATGAAAACTCTTCAATAAAAATGTATTGAAAGTGAAAAAGCATAATACTGTATTTGAACAAGGACATTAACATTTAACATCTGCCCTCTTTCTTTAAAAATATATTAATTGGACTCCTTGACTTACAGTACATTAGATACTGGTTGAAGTAGTAATGAACTATTTTGCTGATGATTGCAGCAGGGCATAATGTACAGTATATTGTGTACCCGCTTTGCTTTGGAGATGTATGATTTTCTATTTGACACAGCTTTTGAGCATGTAATTATATTTAAAAAGGTAAAAAAAAAAAAATCTATTTATAAATCAGTGGTCTACACTACTGTGCTGATGCTCATGATTACTAATCAGCAGGGGCATAGATAAGGGGGGGTCAGGGGGGTCTGAACCACCCCTAGAGGAGAGCTGTCATCCATCCCTGGCTGCAGGCTGCAACCTCAAAATTTGGGCTGTAAGAACAACACAGCGGTGGGAAGTCCAGGAACACAGCGGCGGTGGGAGGGAGGGGGGACAGAAAGAAAGCCGTTCTGTGCAGCGGTGAAGGTGGCAAGCAGCGCCGGGGTGTGTGGGAGGGACAGCGGTGGTTGTGGTGACAGGCAGCGATCTCCTGTATGGCTTTCAATGAAGCAGCTGGAAACCACAGGAGGGAGAGGAGGAGACGCAGCTTCCAGCTGCTTTGTTGAAAGCCATACAGGAGATCGCTGCCTGTCACCACAACCACCACTGTAATTTTGTGGGTAATTCCATTGTCCTGGTGCTTCAAGGCCCTAGAAAGTGTAATAGGTAGTCAAGATGTTAGATGTGTAATTTATGTCCCTAGAACACCTGATGGTGCTCTTTGCATGTTGAGGCTCTCTATGTGGTCAGGCTGTGGAAAAGTCTCACACATTTGGTATCATTATATTCAAGAGGAGTAGCAGAATGTATTTTGTGGTGTTGTTGCAAGTATGCCTGTGCTGTGTGTGAGAAATAACTTTGTATGACAATTTAAAAAAATCTTAAATTTTTCCAATGAATTGTGGGAAGAAATTACAACTTCAAAAAACTTCCCATGCCTCTTACTAAATATGTTGGAATGTCTACTTTCCAAAAAGGGTGTCAATTAGGGGGTATTTGTACTGTCCTGGCTGGTTAGGGCCTTAAGAAATGAGTCGGTACATCAGGTGTCATCAATTTTCAATGATTGGTACCATAGCTTGCAGACTCTATAGCTTTCTCGCAGACCAAATAATATGCACTGATTTGTTATTTTTTACCAAAGAAATGTAGCAGTATAAATTTTGGTCAAATTTTACGAAGAAAAATTACTTATTTGCAAAAATGTTTATAACCGAAACTAAGAAAACACATTTGTTTTCAAAATTTTTGGTCTTTTTTCATTTATAGTGCAAAAAATAGAAAACCCAGTGGTGATTAAATACCACTAAAAGAAAGCCCTATTTGTGTGAAAAAGAGGATGATAATTTTATATGGGTACAGTGTTGCATGGCTGAGTAATTATCATTCAAAGTGTAAGAGAACTGAAAGCTGATAATTGGCCTGGGCAGAAAGGGGGTATAAGTGCCCGGTAGGCAAGTGGTTAAAACCAGCCATACATAGATCGAAATTTGCCAGGTTCAGCAGGGACCGGTCTAATTTCGATCCATGTATGGGCACTCTGGTTGAGTTACAACCATCCTGTTGAATTTTAGAAACTTGATCTATAGTCTACAGTGCTGATTAGTGTATTCTAACAACGGGGAAGTCTCCATGCTATCAAAATACAGTAGTTCAGTGGAGAGGATTACCCCAGACATTTTAAATGTATGCATGGGGAATATTGGTCAGTTTTGAAAAACTGGTTGAATGGAAAAAAAAAACTAAACTCATCTATGAGCAGCTTAACCGAATGGAATGCAATGCAGTTGTAATGGGCTAAGTGGTTGAGCAAAAGTCCATGTGATCAATGATCAGTCCCAAAACCATGCTTGACCTCTGAAGCCAGGCATGAGGTAGGTGTAGGAGTCTGTGTTGCAACCCAGGGTGTTGATCCTCAACAAATGATACTAATCCAGGATTAGAAGGCGCACACCTGACATACTGTATGTCCTTTCCAGGGCTTTTTTTCAGTGGGAATATGGGGGAATGCAGTTCGAGTACCCCCATCTCAGAATGTTTGTAATGGGGTGCAGGGGTGTCTATTGATGCTAGCTGCTGTGGGCTGTATTGTCTCTGGAGGGGATCTATTTTTGCATGGCAGTCTATTGTTGCTTGGGAGGTCTACTGTTGCTGGTGGGGGATCTATTGTTGTTGCTGGGGTTAATTGTTGCTGAAATGGATCTACTGTTGAGGAAGTGATCTATTGTTGATGGCTGCTGGGGGATCTATTGTTGCTGCCATGGGTCTATTGTGGGATGGTATATTGTTTCAGGAGGTCCATTGTTGCTGGTCTGCTGCTAGCTGTGGGGGGGGGGTCAATTTTACTACTTTTCTTCTTATTAACAAATTCCATACAAATTACTTAGCAGCATTAAATTATACTTTGCTCTGTATTCTCTAAAAGGAGTGGTACTGGGAGGTGGATAGGAGGTGGAACCAAGGGATGGTGCTCAGAGGTGGGTAGGGGGTGGAGATAAGAATTGGCTCAGAAGGGGGCAGTTCCTACACCTATTCTGTCAGAAAATAAGCCCTGGTCCTTGCTGAAACAAAGAAGCTGATGTACTAAAACTGGAGAGGGAAAAATCTGGTGCAGATGTGCATGGTAGCCAATCAGCTTATAACTTCAATTTTTTCAATTAAGCTTTGCAAAGCTGGACTAGATTTTGCGCTCCGCAGTCTTAGTAAATCAACCCCATAGTTTTTATTAGCACAACCGGTAAAATTACAACAAAAAAAAGCTTACGTGTTTCGGCAAACAGCCATAGTCATAGCAATATGTTGGGTGCACGCCTTCCTATCTTGGATTAATATAACCAATGATACCTCTAATGTAAGCTTCATAACGATTACTGCAATAGGAGATATTGTTTGTCTGTGAAACGTTTGCTTTGATTTAATATCTCACCGGTTCATCCATTCTGTCAAATCTCAATTTTTTCCTGTAATAAACAACATGAACATTATTAACAACTAAAATTATGTATAAGGCACCACAGCTGCACAATTAGTTTATGCCTGTCTACCACAGTAAATACACATATATACACACGCACACACACAATTGCCAAAAGTATTGGAACGCCTGCCTTTACACGCACGTGAACTTTAATGTCATCCCAGTCTATATATATATATATATATATATATATATATATATAGATATATATATATAGATATATATATATACACAGTGGGGATCGAAAGTTTGGGCACCCCAGCTAAAAAATTTGTATTAATGTGCATAAAAAAGCCAAGGAAAAATGGAAAAATCTCCAAAAGGCATCAAATTACAGATTAGACATTCTTATAATATGTCAACAAAAGTTAGATTTTATTTCCATCATTTACACTTTCAAAATAACAGAAAACAAAAAAATGGCGTCTGCAAAAGTTTGGGCACCCTGCAGAGTTAATATCTTGTACTGCCCCCTTTGGCAAGTATCACAGCTTGTAAACGCTTTTTGTAGCCAGTCAAGAGTCTTTCAATTCTTGTTTGAGGTATCTTTGCCCATTCTTCCTTACAAAAGTCTTCCAGTTCTTTGAGATTTCTGGGCTGTCTGTCACGCACTGCTCTTTTAAGGTCTATCCATAGATTTTCAATTATGTTGAGGTCAGGAGATTGTGAAGGCCATGGCAAAACCTTCAGTTTACGCCTCTTGATGTAATCCCCCGTGGATTTCGAGGTGTGTTTAGGATCATTATCCATTTGTAGAAGCCATCCTCTCTTTAACTTCAGCTTTTTCACAGATGGCATCAAGTTACCATCCAAAATTTGCTGAAATTTTATTGAATCCATTTTTCCTTCTACTCGTGAGATGTTCCCTGTGCCACTGGCTGCAACACAACCCCAAAGCATGATTGATCCAACCCCATGCTTAACAGTTGGACAGAGGTTCTTTTCATTAAATTCTGTGCCCCTTCTTCTCCAAACGTACCTTTGCTCATTCTGGCCAAAAAGTTCAATTTTAACTTCATCGGTCCACAGAACTTGTTTCCAAAATGCATCAGGCTTGTCTATATGTTCATTTGCAAAGTTCAAATGATGATTTTTGTGGTGAGGATGTAGAAAAGGTTTTCTTCTGATGACTCTTCCATGAAGACCATATTTGTACAAGTATCTCTTTATAGTGGAATAGTGTACCACAACTCCAGTGTCTGCCAGATCTTTCTGGAGGGATCGTGCAGTCAAACGTGGGTTTTGAATTGTTTTTCTCACAATCCTGCGAGCTGTTCTGTCTGATATTTTTCTTGGTCTTCCAGATCTTGCTTTAACTTCCACTGTTCCTGATGACTGCCATTTCTTAATTACATTCCGAACAGAGGATATTGACATCTGAAAACGCTTTGCTATCTTCTTTTAGCCTTCTCCAGCTTTATGAGCGTCAACTATTTTCAGTTTCAGTTTTCTAGACAACTGCTTAGAAGAACCCATGGTGCTGATTGTTGGGGCAAGGTCAGATGAGTCTGGGCATTTAAAACCTTTGAGATTGACATCACCTGGTCTTCCCAGACGATGATTGAGAACAATCCATGACACTGGCAGGTCTCAGCTTTGCAAAGGGGGCAGTGCATGCTATAAAATTCTGCAGGATGCCCAAACTTTTGCAGACGCCATTTTTTTGTTTTCTGTTATTTTGAAAGTGTAAATGATGGAAATAAAATCTAACTTTTGTTGACATATTATAAAAAATGTCTAATCTGTAATTTGATGCCTTTTGGAGATTTTTCCATCTTTCCTTGGCTTTTTTATGCACATTAATACAAATTTTTAGCTGGGGTGCCCAAACGTTCGATCCCCACTGTATATATATATATATATATATATATATATATATATATATATACACACACATACATACACACTAACACACACACACACACTTTGTAGTATTGGGACACCAGCCTTTAATGGCATCCCAGTCTTAGTCCGTGTGGTTCAATATTGAGTTGGCCCACCCGTTGCAGCTATAACAGCTTCAACTCTTCTGGGAAGGCTGTCCACAAGGTTTAGGAGTGTGTCTATGGGAATGTTTGACCATTCTTCCAGAAGCGCATTTGTGAGGTCAGGCAATGATGTCGGATGAGAAGGCCTGGCTCGCAGTCTGCGCTCTAATTTATCCCAAAGGTGTTCTATCGGAATGAGGTCAGGATGCAGGCCAGTCAAGTTCCTCCACCCCAAACTCGCTCATCCATGTCTTTATGGACCTTGCCTTGTGCACTGGTGTGCAGTCATGTTGGAACAGGAAGGGGCCATCCCCAAACTGTTCACACAAAGTTGGGAGCATGAAATTGTCCAAAATGTCTTGGTATGCTGACACCTTAAGAGTTCCCTTCGAAGGAACTAAGGGGCCAACCCAACCCCTGAAAAACAACCCCACACCCATAATCCTTTACCCACTGTTGTGGTAATCTGAAGGCCACACAAAGTTTGGAGGTCTTTAGCTATTTAGTCTGCAGACATTTGGAGACTTCTGCGCACTGTGCGCTTCAGACCCCGCTCTGTTATTTTACATGGCCTACCAGTTTGTGGCTGAAAGTGGGTGGGATATATTAGTCGGCAAGAACATTTTGTCCCTGAAGTTGATGTGTTGTGTGAACATATGGGCAAGCGTAAGGATTTGAACGACTTTGACAAGGTCCAAATTGTAATGGGTAGACGATTGGGTCTGAGCAACTCCAAAACTGCAGCTCTTGTGCAATGTTCCTGGACTGCAGTGGTAAAGTAGTCCAAAGAAGGAAAACCGGCAACAGCATCATAGGTGATCAAGGCTCATTGATGCACATGATGCTGAAAAAGTTAATGCTGGTTCTGATTGAAAGGTGTCAGAACACACTGTGCATCAGTTTGTTGTGTATGGGGCTGTGTAGCCACAGACCAGTCAGGGTGCCCACGGTGAACCGTGTCCACGGCCAAAAGTGCCTACAATGGACAGCATCAGAACTGGACCACAGAGCAAACGAAAAGTGTAAAGTTTGGTGGAGGGGGGAATTGTAGTGTGGGGTTGTTTTTTCAGGGGTTGGGCTTGGCCTCTTAGTTCCAGTGAAGGGAACTCTTAAGGTGTCAGCATACCAAGACATTTTACAACTTTGTGGGAGCAGTTTGGGGATGGCCCCTTCCTGTTCCAACATGACTGCGCACCAGTGCACAAAGCAAGGTCCATAAAGACATGGATGAGTGAATTTGGGGTGAGGGAACTTGACTGGCCTGCACAGAGTCCTGACCTCAACCCGATAGAACACCTTTGGGATGAATTAGAGCGGAGACTGTGAGCCTGGCCTTCTTGTACGACATCATTGCCTGACCTCAAAGTGCACTTCTGGAAGAATGGTCAAACATTCCCATAGACACACTTCTAAACCTTGTGGACAGCCTTCCCAGAAGAGTTGAAGCTGTTATAGCTGCAAAGGGTGGGCCCACTCAATATTGAACCACACGGACTAAGACTGGGATGCCATTAAAGGCTGGTGTCCCAATACTACACAGTGTGTGTGTGTGCGCACGCACGCACGCACGCACGCATACATACATACATACATACACACGTTGCTCACTTGCTCAGTTTAATGTGTTAAACAGAAATGGATCACATTATACAGCTCAATCCTTTCTGTGGTCACATGACCATCAATTTGTATTAGAGAATTACCATCAAGAACATATAGGATACTAAACAGAAAAAGTGAATATCTGAACAAACACAAAACTGAACAAAGATAGCATAAACCAAGAGCGACTAACCTGTATCAAGAGAGCACAAAACACAGGTTTTCTGTTTAATGTGAGCTTGTTGGTATTAGTCTCCTGAACTCACACTACAAATCATTAGAGCTCCCTCTAGCTGCAGCCTAGTAGTAGCATTACTGGGAGGTTTATTCATTTGCTTGCTATATAAACACATATGTATGTTCACAACAGTGTGAATGAGCCCCTAAACAAAAGGCATCGTTCTATCCCATCTATATGTATTTTTGATGTTGTATTGATCTATATCAGGTTGATATTGTTTTGTAGTATGCTGACATCTAATGTTGGCTTAGGGTCACGACAACCTCTTATGTGATTTGGTATCTCCCTCTGTTCTCCCTTCCTACTTAGTGCTAGTTAGGTCAGTCCTTGCTAGATCCACCCCCTGTTTCTTCCATGCTCCCTCAACCAGTGTAAGTCAATGCATACAGAGGAATTTGAAACAGGACTGGCACGCTGCCATCTTCTGCTGGTGTGGGCCCTGCATGTGATCACTATCTCACAACTGTCATAGTGGGCACATGAAGAGGAACCATAATGGACTCTTCCTGACTGTAAGTAGTGACCAGAATTGTCAGACAGCACAGTTTAACAGCTAGCAGCAAGCTCCAGTGTGCACTGGTAGCTGACAAACAGGGAATGTAGATTAATGTGTTCTCAATTCTTAATCTACAAATTACAAATGGGAAAGGGTCAATTCAAAAAAATTATTCATCTTGATTGCTGCAGTATGAAAGGGCCTTGGTTTGCTGTATGGCAGTAATGGCTTATCTTATGTCGATTTAATTCTAGAATGTTGGCTGCATTTTGTGTTCTCTCCCTCTGCACCCCCCAGGCACCTACATTTTCCCAGCCTTTTAAGGTTTAAACTCTTACCTTGCAGTACGGCATTCCATTTTCTTTTTCCTTTTTTTCTTGGAAAGAAAAAAAAGTGTACGAAATTATAGTCGATAAACCTTCAATAAAAGTTTTCAAAAACATTTCTATTCCTTTAAAACATCAATTTTTTTAATGCAAGGTCCACTTTATCACAGTAACTCTAGTAAGATGGGAAAGACATTAACAGGATAACTATTAGCACCAAGTACTTATGGGGCCCAGACTGCAGCACCTCCTGCAGGTCAGTGGGTGCCAGTAGCCTGAGCTACTTTACAAAGAAGAGCGCTGCTGTGTCCCCTTATCAACAAGCTTTGCCAGCTGGGTCTCCTGTACCGCTGGGGGTTCCTCTTCCACCTGGTTGTTAGAAAGTGTGTCGATTTCTTCTCTCTCCGGAAACATGCAAATCTTCTGGACCCGTTCACCTTTCTAGAGAATGAACCTTTCCATCTGCTTGACTGGTTACAGTCACTTCCCAGACAGGACCAACGTTCCTCCTCATAACCACCTCAGTCAAGCTTACCCTCACAGCCTCCCGGACGTGGACTGTGAACCACGTGATCAGTCTCTACACACTGTGACAGACCTAACCGGGGCAGGCTTTTGGAGGGGAGTGCAGGCAAGACTCTTGCCTGCTGACTCTGGCATCTGAGGGGGATCTATTCCTTTGGAGGTGTGTGCCTGGGGGACCTTTGGAGTAGTTTAACTTTGGATTCAAGTCCATCTCTCCCTGAAAAACACACAGACTCTGAGAACTGGAGGACCAAGATACAGATTTGAGGTCTCTCTGCCAAAACCAGCATTGACTGCTTCAACCTCCCATCTAGACTCAGAGCAGATGTTAATATAATCAGCTCAAATCAACCTGTAGCTGAAGTCACTTGCTGTAATTCATAATTTTTTAAATATTTCTTTATACATTTTTTTCTATACATGTTTTAGTGGCCTTTAAAGGAAAAGGAGAAATTATCCCTAATGGCTGTGCTGCAATCTTGGCTTTGACAATATGGATGCCTGTGTAATTCCAGTCACATAATTTCCGAATCAGTGGCGCTTTTCAATATACTTTGGGAAAATGGCTGACCGGTTGCTTCGAGTTGCGCCATTTCCAGCTGGACTTCGATCTATGCAATAGACTATGGGAAGATGGCAGTCCCGGCACTTCCAAGATCTGCGATTTATGGACTTGATTGTAGCTTGTTTACATCACTGGTGAACATCTTGATAAATGTGAATCTGATGTCACTGGCCTCTTACTTGTCCCCTGAAGACATCTCATTGCAGATGAATGGAGTTGGACGGGGCTAGCTGCCTGTGACACTATTACGTCTGACGGTGTACAATGGTGAGGTCTTATATGGTTTGTGTACCTTGTGATGCTTGTGAGTATATTTTATATGCAATAAATTTTAAGAATTTAAGGGCCAGTTCACACCACAAAAGTGCACTCCGGATGCGTTCCGAATACCTTTTTGCTCACAGTTCACACCACACTGCGTTCCGGTGTTTTTTTTTTTTTTTTTTTTAAGCATTTTACTATTTTTCAGTACAGTTCTGACTGCACTGGTGTGAACGAAGGCCATTGGAATACATGGAAAACGCTGTGCATGCATTTTTGATGTAGAAAAAAAAACGCACTGGACTGCATCACGCGTGAACCAGCCCTTAGGGCCAGTTTACACTACATGCATTTTAGTGTGCTTTTTTTCTGCATCCAAAATGCATAGAAAGTAGGTTATATGGTTGTCAATGTCATAGTTCACATCAGTAAATGCAGTTCCAGTGCGTTCAGGTTGCAGAAAAAAAAAGTAGCATAGGATGCATTTTTTCTGCACAGAACTGTAGTGGAATGCAGCAAAAAGCACCAAAAACGCACATGTCCCTATTTAAATTGAAAAAGAGAGGGGAAAAAATTAACCGGAAAGCATCAAAAACACACCAGAACGCCAAAAATGCTCATGCGGAAATGCATCCAAAATGCATTTCTCTGGTGTGAACCGGTCTTTAGCAATATTACTCTATGGTCTCCTTTTCTCTTCCTACTATCCCTGGGGAAAACTGTGTATCCTGGTAAATTGAAGAGTGACTATACGAGTTTTTGGAAAGCGGTAGTGGACCCTGGAGTGACGTCATTTCAACTAAATAAAAACTTATAAAGTGGCCGGTGAGTGCATTACATTTCTGTTTTTGGGTTTAGATACGCTTTAAACTTAAATGGCTGATAACACAGCCACACAACCATGATAAATGCAGCTTTAGGAGTCTCTGTACAGGTATCTTTACAAGTATATTTGTTAATGTGTTGTCTGCATTTTTGCAAAAAATATGGTAAAAAAAAAATATAAACTGCTCTGGTCCCTTTCTTTCTGAGAGGGCTGTTGATATCTGTATGTCTGTGAAACACAAATCTCTGTTGTGGTGCATGTGAACGTTAGATGAGTTGTGTTATAAGATTGTCATCCATGGATGGTTCTAATTGGGCTATTGTGTTATGGGGATGGGGATTATGTTTTACTGGGACAATCAGGTATTTTTAAAACTGGAAATTAATACAGCAAGTAGAGATAATCTCATGTTTGCTGAAAGATTATATGTAAAAATCAGTTGGGATAGTATTTTAATTTTTTAATTTGTATGAATCTGAAAACATGTTTTCATTCACCTCTATCTATAAGCATTGTGAAGAAATTAATTTTCAAAATTATTGATGCAGGCACTGTGCTTTTCCACAAAGAACAGAATCTTAGCAGCAGACTGAACAAGCCCTCTCATGTAAACAAGCAGTAAGTGTTTCTAAGATGTTAGAAACTGACTAAAAGCAACTGAACTTTTTAGCCTGGGTTCACACTGATGTGGTCTGGAATTTGCAGCGGTTTCTGTGAGAATTCCTCACTGCATCAGAATTGCACCCCGTTCATGTGAACCGCTGTGGGTGTGTGTTAAGTTAACACCCCAAAATCGATCCACAAAACATGGTGCAATGTGCAGAAACGGATCGCATAGGTGTGAATACCCATGCAATCCGATTCTAGTGCGGACCCAAAAAGGGTCCTGCACATTTTTGGTACGGATGCGGTGCAATTTGAACCATACATAATCCTAGATTGTAAGCTCCAAGGAGCAGGGCCCTCCTATCCCTCTTATATTGAACTGTATTATCTCCTGTTATATTGTAAAGCACTGAGCAAACTGTTGGCGCTATATAAATCCTGTATTATAATAATAATATTAATAATTAATGGTTGCCTTCCATATATGTTAAGACAGTTCTTTGGGACCTCTAGCTTGTCTGGCCTAGAAAGAGTGGTAAACATTACTGAGCACCCTATTTCTTTGTAACAGCCTTGACAACTAGTTTCAGGGCCTGGAACTGAACCCAGGACCTTTGCGGTGTCTGCCAATAACTAATTTTGCTGAGCCACCTGGAATGCTGTACAGCTTCCCTGACAGTTCCTTGAATGATCCTGCCTTGAACCTTGTTTGTCTTGAACACAGAACTCTGCTCCTCCTATGAGTTTCCATGTCTCTGCACTTCCTGTTCCTGCCAGATTATTGTGCTCCCTCCAGCCAATATATCGCTTATGTCACTCCTGCTGCAATCTATATCTTTGCTACTACTCGTTACCAACTCTTGGCTTGTTCCTTGACTACACTTCTGCTTGATCCCAAACTACAACCACTCATTACCAACCTCTGGCTTGTTTACATACTACACTTCTGCTTATCCCTACCTGCTACTGGACACGGCTTGCTCATCTCCTGGTAGGGTGATCATGAGGACTGCCACTTGGTACTAACACGCACGCAACTAAACCCATCTCACCATTAGGAGCATCTCCACCATTAGGAGCTCTGGCAAACACCAATTAGTTCTTAGACTCCACATCTCAGATGAGCCTGTGTCTTCCGTCAGGGTGACGTGCTTGCATATCTATCTTGCTGGTCAGTGGATGTCTCGCTACTGCTATAGCTACTGGCCTCCGGCCTGACTCCAAATCGTGACAACTTGTCTCACAGAATTGTATTTACTCTGATCCCTGGTGCTTGGAGATTAACATTGTAGGCGGTGGCCACCGGATGCCCGGTTTTTCTCTGGGCCCCTGCCGTCACCTCACTGGGGTGCTTGATCCATGCGGTTGTCCACCACATTCTGTCCCTGTTTGTAGATATTGCTTGTACCTTACTTTTTCGTTGATAACAGCTACTCACCTTCACAGTAAGAGGACCTGCATTGTTCCACAAGCCAACAGGAGAGAGAGGTTATATTTTAAGCCTACAGAACCATCCATTTATATGCCAGGTGCCCAAGACCATATTCTCCTTTCCACACCTTAGGACACCTGCTGATTCTTTCGCTGGTTGATGTACATTATTGCCATCTCAATATATGCCTCCCTTTATGGGATACAATTTATTTGTTAATGACTTAGCATATGTCTTACTCCTTACTATATAAAAACATGGCTTTGGCTGGGTGTTTAGGGCCTTGCTCCCAGCTATTTCCTACCCCCACCCTCACATAGGTTTGCATTCATGAGGCCATACAGCCATTGACTTGTGAGTGCCTTCGTAGTACTTCCAAAATGCCTATAGTGTCAGTCCCCTTCCCCCTCCCCCTTTTCTTTCCCTTTCTCTACCTTTTCTTTTTTTTTTTCCCCCATTGTCCATAGCCCACTTACTTCTGCCTTCCAATCCTTTCCCCCTTGTTCCTTTGACGTCCCCGCACCATATGACCAAGTATGTCTAGCCCTTCAATGGGGCTACTTCAACTCATCTCTCTTAATGTGAAGGGCTTAAAACCCCTGAGCATCTATTATCTTCTTAAATATTAAATGGATGAAGGCCCATCTCTGTTTCTTTGAAGAAACCCACTTTAAGAGCAGCTAAAATCCTGAACCTTTATAATAAGTACTATGCAATGGTGTATCATGGATGCTCACATGACTCCAAATCTGGGACCCATGGTCTCAAGGGTGGGGCAGGGTTATTTTCCTGAAAGGGACTACTGGCCACAGGGTCTACCCGCTGGTAAATTTATCTGCCCAGTATGAACCAAACCAAACCTTTCTAGAGTATTCTCAAACCGCTGAGCATGTTTGCAAAAGGTTTGGTGATCAAGGGCAGTGGCTTCAATCTGACCCTTGACCCAATCCTGAACATATCTCGTGCCTCTTCTCATCTCTGTTACTCTGTTCTTAAAATGCATAAAGAAAAACCTACATGAACTCCATTTCTGGACATATGGTGAATCCTTCATCCAAATTGCAGGGATTACACATTTTATTCCCACCCATGAGTCCTACACGAGGATTGATTTTTCCTTAATCCATCAATCCATCAATGTCAAGAATTCAAAAGGCTTCTATACAGTAGGTGCAATAGCAACCTCAGATCATGCTCCCATTTCTATGGAAATTGACTTAACTTCTTCACTAGCCAGACCTTAGCTTTGGAACCATTATGATTCCCACTGAGAAAACTCTTTAGTCTCTGCGGAAGTGGCTAGAGAACTACATATCTTCTCCACAAATGTCACACCACACTGTGATCCTATAGTTCTGTGGGACACCCACAAAACATACATTAGAGGAGTCCTAATTAAACCGGGAACGCAGCTCAAGAAAGAGTGAAACAAACTGACACCCTCCTCTGGGAAATACGGAATCCATGAAGGGCCTCTAGTAAACTAACTGAAGTCATGACCCTACAAGATAACTTAACCACTTGCCTACCGGGCACTTATACCCTCTTCATGCCCAGGCCAATTTTCAGCTTTCAGAGCTCTCACACTTTGAATGACAATTGCGCGGTCAGGCAACACTGTACCCACATGAAATTTTTATCATTTTTTTTCACATAAATAGAGCTTTTTTTGCTGGTATGTAATCGTCACTGGGTGTTTTATTTTTTTTGCACTTTAAAAAAAAAAAAAGCAAAAGAAAGAAGTTTTTCTTTGTTTCTATTATAAAATTTTGCAAACAGGTAATTTTTCTCCTTCACTGATGTGCGTTGATAAGGCTGCACTGATAGGCAGCACTGGTAGGTGGCACTGATGAGGTGGCACAGATAGGCCACACTGCTGGGCACTGACTCTTGACACTGCTGAGCACTGATGGGTGGCACAGCTGGGCAGCACTGATGGGTGACACTGCTGGGCACTGGTGGATGGCACTACTAGGCACTGGTGGGTAACGCTACTAGGCACTGCTGGGCACAGGTGGGCGGCACTGCTGGGCACTGATCATCAGTGCCCTGATGATTGGTGACGATCCGTCCTCTGATAATTGCCGGTCATCGGCAGTACTTTCCTCTCGCTGTGAAAGCATGAGGAAAGTGCAGCCGATAACCGGCAGCTGCATTTACCGGTGATCTGCTGTATCATTGGACACAGCTGATCACGTGGTAAAAGGCCGCTGTGATTGGCCTTTTACCACATCACGTGATCAGCTGTGTCCGTAGGATACAGCAATCACGGAGATCGCCGGGTGCGTGTCCCCACAGGGCACGTGGGAGGGCGCTTTCTGGGAGGATGTCATATGACGCCCTCCCAGAACTGGACAACTGTGCTGTAGCCGTCATTCGGCTATAGCGCAGTTGGCAAGTGGTTAAACTCCATCCTCTGGGATAAAGCGAAGGCCATCATTGCTAAATGTAGACAGAAGTTATTGGAACTTTGTGCCCAACAGGCCCGCTTAGTGATCCCCGAGTTGTTGGATACAAACCACTGGATGCAACAGTGGTTCATATAGTGAACTAGGTGTAGGGTTATTCACCCTTAGGTCATCACAGAGTGACAAGGGGGCACTCTACGTCTGGAGGAAAAGAAATTTAATCTCCAAATACAGAAAAGTTTCTTCACAGTAAGAGCTGTGAAAATGTGGAATAGACTCCCTCAAAAGTTGGCTCTGGCCAGCTCAGTGGATTGTTTTAAAAAAGGCCTGGATTCTCTCCTAGGTACACATAATATAACTGGATACTAACATTTATAGGTAAAGTTGATCCAGGGAATATCCGATTGCCTCTCGTGGGATCAGGAAGGAAGTTTTTCCCCTTTTTTTTTTTCTGTTATTTTGAAAGTGTAAATGATGGAAATAAAATCTAACTTTTGTTGACATATTATAAGAATGTCTAATCTGTAATTTGATGCCTTTGAGATTTTTCCATCTTTCCTTGGCTTCTTTATGCACATTAATACTCATTTTTAGCTGGGGTGCCCAAACTTTTGATCCCCACTGTACATTGGATCCTTTCCTCTGCAAAATCAGAAATCCTCCACATAATATTGGCTCTTCATTAGGGGCACCATCACTCATGAAGGTCACAACCTATGCAGATGATCTCCTGTTTTTCTCTTTACTGAACTCAACAAATACAGATCCCTATCCAACTTTTGTATCAATTTCCAGAGCAAAAGCCCTTAAGATTTATATACCAGACTCCTCTATTAAACATCTCAGGATCAACTTTCCATTTAGGTGGGTGACCTCACATACTAGGTATTGTGTACCAACCTCCCCAGGCTATTAGAGGATACTTATAAACTCAATTTCCCACCCCTTTCAGTGATCAAACCAGGTCTATTGACCTGGCACAAAGGAACATTTTCATGGTTTGGGAGGTGCAATATCATTAAAATGAACATAATGCCTCACTTGTATCTTCTACAGGCACTCCTATTTTTTTCCTGCCAACAATACAGGGAGACATGGAGCTCCCAGATATCGCCCTTTAACAAGGGTACCAGAATAGTGCCAACATGCCCCTCTTAAGCAATAAATAGCTACTGAGCAAGCTGTTTCAGGTATCCCTTTGTTGCATCTTCCCTTGTGTCGAGATGAGTTACCACTCAGCCTCAGGTCTCATCCAACGATAGGGGAGACCTGGCTCATATGCTCCAATTTTTTTTTCTGGGGAAAAACTCTCTCGTGCCCCCGGTCTCCACATTTTCCCCCCTTTCAGCCAAGGACTTTCTGACCCAGGCTTCCAGGTAATGAAACACAGAAGTCTGTTCCAGGCAAGAGAATTCACATCTGAAGGCTGTTGTCCTTCCAGATCACAGCTACTCTCGAACCCTACCCTTACTGAGCTCTATTTCTGGAACAAACTCCAACTCTCCCATTTCTGACATTCTTATCAAAGGCACCTCTTTTAACTCCATTCTCAATACTTTTGAACAGCTTCGTGAAGACCAAACTCCTTTCCATCATGAAGTTTCATTGATGTATAGACTACTTCTTCCTTCCCAGGAATGGTTCAAATTTCCATACATCTCCACATGGGAGAGAGATCTCGGTGTTTCTTTCTCCAACAAGCAGATTTGGAGAATACTTCTGTTAGCATATAAAATTTCGCTTTGCGCTAAATATCAAGAATCCGGACTTAAAATCTTGACAAGATGGTACTGTACTCCCAATCGGATTCACAAGCTGTTTCCACAGAGACACACTGGAGATGTGCGGAGGTTGGATACATGCTATATACTTTTTGGTCATATGATAGAATTCAGGATTTTGGTCTGATGTACATATAAAACATAGGCATAACTGAGAGATTTACCAATTACCAGATTGCCTTCTTGCTATCACTATGATATCCCCAGGTAAGACTTAAAGACGTTCTTTTGCTCCACTCCTGGTGAGCACAGCAAAAAGTTACCTACTTTTTGGAAACAACAGCAAGCGCCCCCAGTTACAGTATGGTTGGCATAAGTTGGGGAAAATCAATTAGATGGAGGACTTGATTGCAACAGAGTGGGGCAAGAGAGACACATTTTTTAAATACAGTTTTTTATGGCCATGCTTTTATCTACTCATCAGAGTATACGGCCCTACTAAGCACAATCTGAATCTTGTACTATTAGGACTTCAACTGGTCTTGTGAGATTGGAAGGCCAGGGAGCTGGATCTACCCCTTCCCAGCCTGTATTGTCATTTGGGCCATCCGCCTACTGGGTGGGGCCTATTCCCACATGACCCCCCCAAACAACAGTAAGTGCCCCCAGTTACAGTATGGTTAGCATAAGTTGGGGAAAATCAATTAGATGGAGGACTTGATTGCAACAGAGTGGGGCAAGAGAGACACATTTTTTAAATACTGGTTTTACAGCCATGATTTTATCTACTCCTCAGGGTATACGGCCCTACTAACCTCAATCTGAATCTTGTACTATTAGGACTCCAAATGGTCTTGTGAGATTGGAAGGCCAGGGAGCTGGATCTACCCCTTCCCAGCCTGTATTGTCATTTGGGCCATCCGCCTACTGGGTGGGGCCTATTCCCATATGACCCCCCCAAACAACAGTAAGTGCCCCCAGTTACAGTATGGTTAGCATAAGTTGGGGAAAATCAATTAGATGGAGAACTTGATTGCAACAGAATGGGGCAAGAGAGACACATTTTTTAAATACTGGTTTTACAGCCATGATTTTATCTACTCCTCAGGGTATACGGCCCTACTAAGCTCAATCTGAATCTTGTACTATTAGGACTCCAACTGGTCTTGTGAGATTGGAAGGCCAGGGAGCTGGATCTACCCCTTCCCAGCCTGTATTGTCATTTGGGCCATCCGCCTACTGGGTGGGGCCTATTCCCACATGACCCCCCCAAACAACAGTAAGTGCCCAACAATGACCCTGCTCATTCCATTGATTGTTCTTTGGATCTTCTTTCCCCTTCCTCTGTACGGCTCAGCTGGGCCAGACGAATAGAAAAGCTTGTACTTTTATTTGCTGTGTTTTTTACAATGTTCACTTCCTGTATCATTGACATTATGGTAAGGTCATTGTACCTGGGAATCCTGATGAGTTCCTATTTTTGACACAGTTGCATGTTGTCTCTGTACTTTGATCTTCTGTTAAATAAAGAATTGAAAATAAACAGAACATATATTAAGGTGGTAAAGAGCCTAGCAATTTTTTTCCTGGAAAACAAAAAGCTATTGAGTATTGTTAATGACTCAAACTACATTTTTTTTTAAATTAGGAACCATGGACATATTAAACCTATCCAGCCTAAGCTACCAGTAACCAAATCCATTCCTAAAGTGACATTAAACTTTGGTTTAAAAAATTATTATTGCTGTGAACACATTTCCTGTTACGATGTTCTAAGGTAGCTACATCATTCTCCATGGTTCCACTATATATAGGATCTAAGCCACCCTCTCTTGCTCACACTCAAGATGGACTTTGGACTATGTGATTTGTAGTGTGCATAGAGAAGTGCCCATGACCGATCAACATGCGCTGTTCATTGTGAGCAGTGGGAAAATTTTGATTTTTTTTCTACATACCTGTAAAATCCATTTCTTGGGAGTACATCATGGGACACAAAGCAGACTATTCGTGACTATGTGGGGGTTATAGGCCACCTATAGGTGAATGGACACTGGCTGACCAAACAGAGAGGAGGTCCTCCCCTATATAACACCTCTTATACAGGAAGTACCTCAGTTTTTGTAGCAAGCAATGACATTTCCGAAGAAGGGGTGGAACCTCTGTGTCCCATGATGTACTCCAAGAAATGGATTTTACAGGTAAGTATGTATAAAAAAATCCAATTTTCTTTATTGTACATCACAGGACACAAAGCAGGCTATTCATGACTATGTGCGATGTCCCAAAGCAATAAGAATTCTGAGAGGAGGGTGACACCATGATAGCCGCCGTCAATCCCTCAGGACCTACTCAGCCGTTCGTAAAACACTGCGGCCAAAGGCAGAATCCTCTGTGGCTCCGACATTCACCTGGTAGAATCTTGTGAATGTTTGAACCAAAGACCATATAGCGTCCTTGCAAACCTGAGCCACTGACGCCTGATGGCGGATTACCCAAGATGCCCCCACACTCCTGGTGCAGTGTGTGTCTTCACCCGAAAGGGTGGGACATCACCTTTCCAATAAGAAATAGTCACCCTGGATGCCACCTGCCCCTTCCTAGGTCCCTGTGGCAGCGCAAATAGTGGATCTGACTTCCTGACCTGTGCGGTTACCTTCAAAAAGACCCTTACAGCATGAACCACATCCAAAGTATGCAGAAATCTCTCTTGCTGACTGAGGCCCAGGAAAGAATGAAGGCAGAACTATGTCTTAATTGAGATCAAAACCAGAAACCACCTTTGGTAAAAACTACAGATGAGGTCGCAACACCACCCTATCATAATGCAAAACCAGAAGTGGTTCTCTGCAAGATAGAGCTGCCAACTCTGACACCCTTCTCACAGAAGTGATTGCCACTAGAAACAACACCTTACCTGTCAACAGGACCAGTGGAGTCTCTCCAATAGGTTCAAATAGTGGCCTTTGCAAAACCTTCAAAACCAAGTTCAGGTCCCAAGGACACAAAGGCAACCTGACAGGACGAGCCATATGCATTTCTCCTTGTAAAAAAGTGCGGACCAAAGAGTGAGGTGCAATGGGCCTCTGGAAAAAAATTAGCTCATCCTGAAACCTGGCCCTTATGGTACCAACAGCCAAATTCTTCTGCAACCCTGTTTGAAGAAACAACAGAATCCTGCAATCACATATTTTCATGGATGCCATTTGTGAACCTCACACCAGGCAATGTAAGCCTTTAAGGTTGTGTAATAAATGTTCCTAGAAACTTCCTTTCTAGCACCCAACATGATGGGGATGACAGAATCCGACATTACCCTATTCTTCAGGATCTGGGTTTCTATAGCCACACTGTCAAATTTAACAACCGTAAAGCTGGGTGCAATATAGGACCTTGAGACAACACGGCCTGTCTACTGCCATCTTCACTATGTCCGCCTACCAGGCCCTCCTGGGCCAGGCCGGAGCAATCAGTATCACTGGAACAGACTCCTCCTGAATCCTGCGTAAAGAGATGCGGCAGCAGCTGGATCGGAGGAAAGGCATAAATCAGTGAGAACTGGTTCCAAGGAATCACTAAGGCGTCTACCCCTGCCACACGAGGGTCCCTTACCCTGGACACAAAGGCCGACCTTGTTGTTAAACCTGGATGCCAAGAGATCTACATCCGGGCAACCCCATCGCTGGCAGATTTCCTTGAAAACATTGGGATGCAAAGTCCATTCCCCTAGAATCAACTGCCAGCGACTGAGCTAATCCGCCTGCCAATTTTCCACACCTGGAATGAACACTGCTAGCAGACTTGGAACATATCTCTGACAGCTGTGGCATTGTCGGACTGAATCCTTACAAGCCAATCCTGAAGCTTAGATGTCAAATATCTCAGAGCTTAGCCTCACTGCTCGAAGTTCCAGGAGTTTGATGGGAAGAACCCTTTCCCGTGAAAGGCATGTTCCCTGAACTGTGGCTTCCTCCAGAACATCCTCCCAATCTGAAAGGTTTGCATCGGTGGTTACCAACTTCCACACCACTGGCTGGAAGGATCTTCCCTTTTCCAAATTATGAGTTATCAAGCACCAATTCAGGCTCTGCTGCACCTCTGGAGACAGAGATATGCAGTAATCCAGGGCCGGAATCTTTTTGCTCCAAACAGACAGAATGTACCTTTGCAGCAGTCTGAAGTGGAATTGAGCATAGGGAATAGCCTCGAATGAGGACACCATCTTCCCTAGCAATCTCATACAGAGGCGAAATGAAGGATACATCTTTGCCTTCAAACTGAAAGCCTCGTTCCTCAGGGCGCAATGTTTCCCTGGAAGCAGAAATACCTTTGCCTGAACCATGTCTAGGACTATACCCAAATACTCCAGGCTCTGCACTGGTTCCAGGACCAACTTCTTGAGGTTGAGCACCCAGCCCAGCTGTTGCAGGATTTGCATCGTAAGGACCACATACTGCTTATGATCTGGCACTGACTGATTTCTGAGCAAGAGATAGTCTAGATAACCTGTGACAGATACTCCCCGAGTTCTGAGTACCCCCAACACCGGAACAAGAATTTTTGTGAAAAACTCTGGGAGCCATGGCCTGCCCAAGTGGTAATGCTATGAACTGGAAATGCTGAGCTCCTACTGCAAACCTGAAAAATCTTTGGTGAGGAATGACTATTGGTACATGCAGGCATGTGTCCTTACTGTGTATGGTCGCCAAAAAAATCTGCCTCCTGTTGGCTTCCACTGCTAACCGAACCGATTCCTTACGAAAGGATCGTACAGATAGGAACTGATTTAACCCCACAAGGTCCAAAATGGGCCTTACATCCCCCATTTGGTTTTGGGACTGTAAACAGGTTTGAATAAAACCCCTGAAACCTTTCGCCCGCTGGAACCTCCTTGATTACTCCTTGAGCCAATAGACAATAGAGTGTCTGAAATAAAGCTCTTCTTGTTTCTGGATTTGTTGGTACATTTAATCTTAGAAACTGGGGAGAGGGGAAATACCTGAAATTCTAGTCTGTATCAGAAAAATCGTGGAAATGACCCATTTGTCTTGGATTAGAGCCCTCTAGCTGGAGACCAAATGGATTTTCCATCTGGAGGCGACTAAGCCTCCAGGTATCAATGAAAGTAATAGCTTTAAATCTTTCCTATAATTATTCTTGATAAACTTAGGCCTAGTATGTGCACAATAGATAGCCATATCATGTATTTTGTTCTCTCCCTAATAACATTGATTCTCTTTATTTTTTTGTTTGGTGTATGATGGTGCTATATGGGTAGACGTATCTGTGAAACTGATGGCAGTTTGCCCCATAAGTATGACATGTGTGAGGTAATTTCTGAGGTATATGGGGTTGGATTTTGTCCATTGTTCTGTGCCCCGGCGGAAGTAATATGGTCTATTGCATTTGGAAGTCAATCTGATCTATATAATTTAGGATATAGGGTTGTTTGTTTTTGTTTAATGTCATTGCATTAGTCTAGTTCTTTTTGGCTTTATATTATGTGGTTATTTATGATCGGTTTCCCTATAAGTCTACTTATTAGGGATTTCTGCATATTAAAGTTTGGAAACAAGATGGTGCTAGTCTTTACTGCCTAATAAAGGTTGACTTCTAGCTGGGCGTGGTGGTATGTGCTCTGCCTCTGCTTTTCCTGCCTTAAGGGGCTTATTACATTCCACTGTGCACGGCTGTTTTGGCGGTCTGTTTGTCCCTGGGTTGGTTGGTGCACTGGTGAAGACTTCCGTCTATCGCTCCGCCATTACTGCGCATGCGTGCGATATCTAGTGACCGCGCGCGGTGACACATCTACTTGTGCCCCATCAACATCAGGACGCCGTGAGTGGAGTGGAGGAGGCTGATTCTCCTTTATATATCCCTGCTACAAGCTATACCGGGTTGCGATCTTTTGGACTGTGCTAATAGAGATTATGCTTACCACATTGTTTTTCTCTGAGGGGAGCTTTTTAGATGCCTTGTTGAAAACAACCATATGGGTCTGGATTTACATTATAGTACAGGATTATTCACGGTAATTGCTACTCTTCATTTTTGGCTGTAGGTTCGGCATGGTTTGTTTTAGCCTGTGATTTTGGCAAGGCCTGTTATGTTTATTCCCCTGGACGTTGTCCAATACCTATGGAGAGTCCTGTACAACAAGGTAGCTTTTAAAGACATATGTAAAGTCTCAATCTTCCTCATTATCATCGTGGTTATTCCTCCTTAAAGCGGAGTTCCACAGAAAAAGGGGAAGTTCCGCTTTAAGGACTGCTCCCCGCTCCCCATTAAGGATTGGCATCTTTGGGAAGCAAGGGGGGACGAGTACCCGAATTTGACAGGTACCCGCTCCCACTTCCGGTCCGATTGGAGGCGGAAGGTGTTCTCCCTCCCTCTCTGTAGTCATTAGGGACACGTGATAAGTCCCAGAAGACTACAGGACCATTCATGAAGCGCATGCGCAGTGGGTACCTGGCTGAAGATGCCGGCCTCCTGGAATACAGGACGGCTGGTAAAACAAGCTGTTTTTTAAGTCAGCAGCTACAGTTTTTGTAGCTGCTGACTTTTATTTTTGAATAGGTTGAGTGGAACTCCGCTTTAAGCTATCTTGTTGCCCCACTTATATATTCCATTTTGTTTACTCTATCGAATATTATCTGAGGGGCCATTAGTGGAGAGTCTCTTGGTCCCCGCTCTATGTATAGATCATTGTTTCCCCAGGCCTGGACCTCTGGGCACTGCCTCACTTCACACGTTTCATCTATCTACCTTTGACCTAACCAGATATGTATTGGGGCACTCTTCAGCCTAGGTTAATCACCCCTTGCACATATTAAATTGATTTATTTGGTTTAATAGTATCTGTATATTATTCAATTTGGAAAGCGCTGCGCAAACTGTTGGTGCTATATAAATCCTGTTTATTAATAATAATAATAATAATAATAATAATAATATTGCATTGTTGTATTCTTTTTTTTAACAGCTACAGTTACTTGCACCCCTTGAACCCAGTACTTGAACCCTTAGAACCCTCAATCATTCTGTTCTCCCCCCCCCCCCTATGATTTTCTTGGTTTTTAAAAGCCATGTGTATTTAAATATATGATCAATTTTGTATGTGGGGGAAGACAACGTTGGCAGGGGTGGCTGAGCTGCTTTTTCATTATACAAGCTTTTAGGGGTGTTTACCTCAAGACATTTTAAGGTATTACAGTAAAAGCTTTGCTTTATGATATAGCTTTTATGATTTTTTTCTGAGGAGAGGTTTTCAGCACTGTTAAAATCCCATTATTCTTCCTTTGGTTAAAAAGCTCTCTCTGAAGCAGTGACAAACAAGTAATCACATTTTCATTTAATTTACCAGTGGTTTCTTTTTGCGTGATTCGTTTGAACAGGCTGATGTTATGAGCGTTCCAGAAGTTTCAGTGTCTTTATCCAACTGGTTGTCTGAAAGTAAAAATACACGGGTCTATCTATATGACACAATGAAAAAGTAATTGCGTATGTTTTAATACATTTATACTGCAGAAATTGGGGTTCTTCTAGAACAGTGGTCGGCAAGCCGCGGCTCGCGAGCCACATGCGGCTCTTTACAAGCTTAAATGCGGCTCTTCTGTGTGCCGGGCGCCCCCTCCCCTCCCTCCTCTCCCTCCCCTCCCCTCCCTCCTCTCGGACGGGCGTGTGCCGGGCAGCCGCCCCCTCACCTCCCCTCCCCTCCCTCCTCTCGGACGGCCGCCCCGCTCCCCTCCCTCCTCTCGGGCGGCCGCCCCAAAAGTCAGGACTCTGCAGCTGTCAGGATGTAGGCGGGGCAGCCAGGATGTAGGCGGGGCAGCGTGACGAACTCCTCTCCTCTCACAGTCCGCCCTGAAGACCAGAACGGCGCGGGAAGCACGGCGAGAGGAACGCGCGGAGCAAAGGTAAGTGAATTGACACAGGGGGGACTTACTATATGGGGGATGAATTACTATATGGGGGGGACTTACTATATGGGGGGGACTTTACTATATGGGGGGGGACTTACTATATGGGGGATGAATTACTATATGGGGGACTTACTATATGGGGGGGACTTACTATATGGGGGATGAATTACTATATGGGGGACTTACTATATGGGGGGGGACTTACTATATGGGGGATGAATTACTATATGGGGGGGGACTTACTATATGGGGGGGGACTTACTATATGGGGGATGAATTACTATATGGGGGATGAATTACTATATGGGGGATGAATTACTATATGGGGGATGAATTACTATGGGGGATGAATTACACTATGGGGGGATGAATTACTATGGGGGATGAATTACTATGGGGGGGATGAATTAATATGGGGGATGAATTACTATGGGGGATGAATTACTATATGGGGATGAATTACTATGGGGGATGAATTACTATGGGGGATGAATACTATGGGGGATGAATTGCTATATGGGGGATGAATTACTATATGGGGGATGAATTACTCTATGGGGATGAATTACTCTATGGGGGATGAATTACTCTATGGGGGATGAATTACTATATGGGGGATGAATTACTATATGGGGGATGAATTACTATGGGGGATGATTACTATATGGGGGATGAATTACTATGGGGGATGAATTACTATATGGGGGATGAATTACTATTGGGGGATGTATTACTATGGGGGATGAATTACTAGATGAATTACTATATGGGGGGATGAATTACTATGGGGGATGAATTACTAGGGGGATGAATTACTATATGGGAGATGTATTTTCAGTTTTAAAAATGTGGCTCTCAAAATAAATTTCAATCGTGGTTTTAACGAGATTTGGCTCAGTGAAAAAAAAGGTTGCCCACCACTGTTCTAGAACTTTACACTCAGTACATCATGGACCATTACCAGTCTCTCTGGTATTCTAACCAAACACTGATCACAATTCTTAATAAACATAGGCTATCACTGTTTACTTATACCTTGCACGGTCATTGGTAATAGATGATACAATTTATAAACCCAACTGCAAATGAAATATACTCCTGCGCTATTAAACTACAAGAGTCTAAGCAGCCAGCACTAAAATGCCACAACCTGGGCACCAAAAGCAATCAAGATATATGTATAACAATAGTGCAGCGCTATAAAATGACACATGAATAAAAGTGAAAAGGAGATACACACGTCCTAGATGGGAGAGATCCTAAATAGAGGGTTCAGTGAGTGCTATAACAGTGTGTGTACCCCTTCTAGGGAGATATAAATCATGCAATGTGGGGGGGTCACTCACAACCAAAGCATAAAACTTTAAATGAATAAGTGTCCTTATGAATGAAACAAACACTCCTCATGCAGGTGCTCAAAATTGCGTGTCAATCCTCAGTGACAGGGGTGCCCCCTCACTTTCCTGCCCAGGTCCCTCAGGACCAATGAGCTAAATATGCCACTCTGTATTCCTCCAAAGGATAAGGTCCTCCTTAGCAGTAATGTTGGGACTCCCTCCTCCTCTGGTAGGCAGATATCCAAACGCTGCCTCCTGATACTAGGACAGGTACCACTCCGTACACATCCCCAGTAAAGCAAAAGATCCAATATAGTGTAAACCCGTTTATTGATGAAATGACAATGCATAAAAGTGATTACTCACATTAAAATAGATGTAAAACGGCGTTTTCACCACACTATGGGTGTACTGCATGTGTGGGCAATGCTGGGGTGCACCAAGATGGCGCCCGCACCGGATATGACGTCACTACGTTGCCGCTCAAGCCCCTCCTACTGGCGTATCTACGCGTTACGTCACGATTGATGCACGTGACTTCCTCAGGATGTTATAGCACTCACTGAACCCTCTATTTAGGATCTCTCCCATCTAGGATGTTATAGCACTCACTGAACCCTCTATTTAGGATCTCACCCATCTAGGACGTCCCCAGTAAAGCAAAAGATCCAATATAGTGTAAACCTGTTTATTGAAGAAATGACAATGCATAAAAGTGATTACTCACATTAAAATAGATGTAAAACTGCGTTTTCACCACACTATGGGTGTACTGCATGTGTGGGCAATGCTGGGGTGCACCAAGATGGCGCCCGCACCGGATATAACGTCACTACGTTGCCGCTCAAGCCCCTCCTACTGGCGTATCTACGCGTTACGTCACGATTGATGCACGTGACTTCCTCAGGATGTTATAGCACTCACTGAACCCTCTATTTAGGATCTCTCCCATCTAGGACGTGTGTCTCTCCTTTTCACTTTTATTCATGTGCCATTTTATAGCGCTGCACTATTGTTATACATATATCTTAATTTATAAACCCATCCTTATTTCTGAAATACATTTTACTTTCAGAAAGTATGCATCCCTTTGGATTACATTTAACATTTTTATGGTAAATACAATAGCCTTATACTTTTTAACATCATATATGTCTTGGATAAAAATGTGAAAAAACATATATATATATATATATATATATATATATATATATATACACACACATATACACATATACAATTATAGGTCTCTTTTGGGGGTTGTTGCTACAAGTGTCTCCAAGACACCTCTTTCTGTAGAGTTCTGCATTGTGCTATTCATCAATGCAGGCTGAAAGTTTGGAGTTTTAAGCCTTGTACACAAAGGAAGTTTTTTTCTTACAATAAACAATGTTTATTACCTGCTTGAGTACTACGCTATATATACTTCATCATTACTAGTCCATTTTTCGATTTTCAGTGTTGTGATTACCTGAGAATTACTCAATCATGCAACACTGTATCCAAATTCATTTTACATGATTTTCTAAACAGATGGGGCTCTTTTGGTGATATTTAATAACCAATGGGTTTTTTATGTATAAAAGGGAAAAAAAGACCAGAAATTGGGTATTCCTTAAAATTACCTTTCATTTGTTTACCTTTAAACAAAAAAAAAAAAGGACTAACGTTTTGCAAACACTGGCAGTGTTTACATTGCGATGGCTGTGCTTCACAGTGTTACAAGGTACAGAGCCACTCTGATTGGCTCTGTACATTGTGCCTGTGATTTGAGCTGTGCACAGACAGCTCAGATCACAGCCATTTACGGGCGCACCGGTGGTTTATGTGTGTTTTCCAGAGCACTGCGTATAAACTTAACTTACTGTTTGCAGCTTGAGCTTTATGCTTATAACAGTAGGCACTGTAAATAGAAAACAAAAATTGAACAACAAATCATTCATATAAATGTCACTTTAGAATAAAGAAATGTGGAGCAGAACAAATATGAAAATAAATTACAGTGAGCCAGGACTATATCCAACCATGTAAAGCTTTGTGTTTGAAAATATAGTAACTCACGCTAGTGCACTGCTACACCATAAGCATGAATAAGGATAAATGACAGAAGGGGGAGCTTGCTGCAACCACTCACTAAGTGTACTCTCACTTAAAAAGACAATTTAATAAAAAATGTAGTGCGCTAACTCCTCATCATCAAAAACATATAAATTAAATAAAGCTCAAATACACAAACATCACTCCATGAGAAATCAGCTGTGAAAAATATATAATAGTCCAGATCCCAAGTTCAAATTTTCCAAATAAATGTATTGTCAACTACTTTCCAACACTGTGCTTGTATTCAAGACACACTACCTGCTCACCTTAAGGTTCGACCTACAAATTATAATAGGTCAAATGCATTTTGTTGGAATAAATCCTTCATGCAATGATAAATTTGTGTTTGCTCCTTCTAAATATGTCTTCACTCAGTCAAGACTCCAAAACGTGCATAAAAAACAAAAATATATTCCAACACCATTTACTACGTCACAATATGACATGAACTAAGACATCTATAAACAACCTCTTGTGGTAAAATACACCCCGTACAAGAGAAAACACCAACACTCTGCGCTGCACTTGCTAGGTCTCATGCAATCTTGATTGGACAGTGTATGGGGGACTTTTAAAAATTGGAAATCATGATCATCAGCATATGGATCTACAAAGCTGCATATGGGGAATAAAACCATCAACAATTTGTGTGTAATGGTGTATATGTATATTTGTTATAGGTCTAAGTTGGATTCATGAGTGCATACTAGCCGATGGAAGAAGCACATGCGGTGTATCTTACATAAGCTAAGGACCACTGGTGGATTTTTTTTGAAGATTTGTGTGTTTTTTAAGGCACGTCACAACGTAACATTTATATATTGCCTACTACACCCAATTACACTTGGAATCAGCCGGGTGTTTCTTTTTATATTTATTATTTTTTTTCTTTATCTTTAACTTTTTTTGTATATGTCACTTGGCTTTTCATGTTATTTTGGACATTATCTTGACGATTGATCATTTACATTGATTTTTCTGCCTTTTGCATTTTCTAAGCAGTGCTCAGCCTGGTGTTTACTTTTGAATATTTTCATTATTGACAGTATTTTTCACACTATATGCCTCTTTAACTATCATGATTACTGTCATTATTCACTCATCTTTTAGCTCACTTATGTGAGGTCTCAGCTGGGTTTTTTACTTTTCATATTGGTTTGATATTCACTGGTATACTTTTATAAGAGTAGCGCATTTATTTGTTTTATTTGTGGGAACACAAATAGGTGCTTGCTGCAACTCACATTGGCAGGTTAGGTAGTGGTAGCGCAGAGGGGTTTTTTAACTTATTTTGTTCTCTTTGTATCGCTTTCTTTGTGGGAAATCCCTGGTGGTCCTGCCAGTCTCTCTGCTTTCCTAATGAAAACTGAACACACTAGGCAGGAGAACACAACATGGTGAGTTTTCTAGCTATGCTAGGAACTCAGCCTGCCCTCCTCCAATGATCAGACTTGTCCTAACACCCCACCCTACACAGCCATTCACTGGGAAGTTCAGCGTGCTACTATTTCTCTTCCCCCAGCTCCTTATGCAGCTGACAACAGAGGGAATATGATCACTTAACCTCCCTAGCGGTCTGATTATGTTCATATTTCTGTGCTCAAAGCGGTACATTTTTTTGCATGGAAATATGTATTTTTTTATTGTAGGCCTGTAATTTTTAGGAATAACTCACTGAAATCTGTCCGAACAAGAGTCTAGTAAACATCCAGGGTATGTTAAAATTTGAAACACAAAATCATAAATTATAATATAATAAATAATAATAAAAAATAATAATATAATAATAATAAATTTAATTCAATAATATAATCAAACCAAAAACACTGAAATTTGAAATATAGCGCCAAGTTCGCACATCACTGAGCAAAGTCGCAAAATCGTTTTCAGTGTCTGATGACGAATTTCCCCACGAATCATTATCACTCAATTCTGCAAGTAGTTATAATTTACTATCGCTGTTCTCTAGCTGGTCTAAAACCGCTTTTGACCTAAAGGGACGCTTTTTGGATGCCATGGATGTTTCTCAGTTTCCAGGCAGAAAGAACAGTAAAAAGGTAGGCAGGACACAGGACAAAGCACTCGGGACAAAATGTATGTGAAATGGTTTGATACAGTAATGTTATACTATGTGATTTTAGTGTATTTAGTGAATGTCACTTTTTGTCATTTTCAAATTTCCCACCAGTTCCGTCCCCTGTACGTCCTGACGCTCACAGGGGATGAAACCCAGATGACAGATGCCGACATCCGCCGGAGGACATTGCCGGGGACACTGCAGGAGGGACATCGCGGGAGTGCAGGACAAGGTAAGTGATCGAGGGATCCCAGAGCAGCGCGCATGGTAAGCCCGAGTGTAGCTCGGGGTTACCGCTTGTGGTACTGAAACTTTACCCCGAGCTACACTCGGGAATACCACCAGGGAGGCTACAAAAAAAAGGGAAAGAAAAGGTATTTAATGAAAAGATAGTGTGATCAATGCAAGAAGGTAAATGCAATCTATGCAAACGATGATATATATAATTTTAGGTGGACAATCTAGCACTAACATACACTGGCTGAGACGGACACCAACTGACTGAAAATTACTTCGCTAGTAGCACTACTACAATTATCAGTGAAATGCTGTATACTGGCTGAAAGTGGTTAACATCAAGAGGCAATGAAGGGGTTAACTGTGTGCTGCTTTTACTCACAGATTTCAGGGAGAAGAGATAGCCATATCTCTGTCTGTGTACAAACTTCTGTGTTTGTAAACACAGCACTCTATGATGTGATTGGCCACAGCCGATCAGCAGGTATAGAACCAAAATCATTGGCTGAAACCTGCTGACAAACTCGTGGTGTGTCCAATAACGGCACAGGATGGCAGGGGTGCGCACTCAAACTATAAATATAATTATAATGCACTTTTCAGAATGTGACTGAGTTCCCAGCCAGAAAAAGCAGACCTCCTCTCAGATCAGGCCCTTATGTGAAATCACATACAGTATATCATGCCACTGAACAGCAAATCGAATTAAATTATGAATATCAAAAACTTGTTTTATGGCTCCCTATAAATCTTTATGGAAGATCAAATGTGTGTTTTTTGTGCATTAATATGGTGTAGACGAAGAGGATTGACACCACTAGCTTTCATTCTTTTTCAGACAGCATTTGCAGCCAAGGCTTTTTTTATTTTTTTATTTTACTGGTATTAGCAATTACATTTGATGTATTTAATACGGAGTTATAATAAAGCGGCATTCCAGTCAAAGATAAAATCTGCAGGGTGCAGAATGCGGGACATGGGGTGCAGAACGCAGGACATGGGGTGCAGGTGAAGGGTGCAGAATGCAGGACATGGGTTGCAGAAGGGTGCATAACGCAGGGAATGGGGTGCAGGGTGTAGAATGTAGGGTGCAGGACAGCAGTGCAATCCCCCACTCCCCATGTGTCCTCCTGCATGTTCAATGCATCCTCCATAGCAGTGTCTGAGAGAAGAATGGACAGACATGCATAAAGCAACATGTCCCTCCCTGGCTGGCTGTTTAGCTGGCTGTTTTGCGGGATTGTCCTGTTCACTACTGTAAGGACACTGTAGTCCTTTTTCTCATCACCTTGTGGGGTTCTCTGTAGCAGTGCTGAGGCGGTGCCATGTTGGAGATTGGATCCTGCTCCTTCCTCTCTGTTTTCCCAGAGAGCTCTGCAGGGACACAGGCAGCTGTGGGTGGAAGCGGGAGCTGATGCAGATGGTAATGCAGCCACAGATAGGAGAATTAAAAAGATCGGAGGCGGGAGCTCAGTGAGATCAGTCTTCTCATGGCACGCTCAGCCGCTGTCTTGTCCCCCGGCCCAGTCCGCCCCTGACTTCACAGGTTGGGTACCACCGCCGCCGTCTTCTCCTCCATTCCCTCACCCTCCTGTCAGGCCCCACTCCGAGCCACATTCCTGTCTAAATAATGCGTATGGGTGTCAGGCAGACACATTATTCAGACCAACAGTGAATGGGCTGACAAAAGCCCAGACGCCGGGCCACAATTTCTAGTCGCCATGTCTACCTGGGATTTGTTGAGTCATGAATTATTCATTGCAGATTGTCTAGATTAGAAACAGTCTAACCTAAACAATCATCAATCTCCTGAGGTTTACCAACAGAGTGCCTGTACAGCCGAATTTGGTAGATCACAGGCACTTCCTTAAACAGTTCTTGGCTTCTGTGTAAACATCGAAGCACAGCTCAGGGTAGCCCTGCCCCAACCCGCTATCAGCACCATCCACAGGAGAATATGCTGCTGCTACTGGTAGCATTCTGTAGGAGAGTTGTGTAAAAAAAAAAAAAGACAAAAAGCAGCTTATTTTCAACTGCAACCGTGGCACTGTGAAGGAAAAGGAAAACAAATCAGGCGAGTGTCCAGCTTCCATGGGAATGCCACTGAGTATGATGAACAACACTACATCACTTCTGAAATTTTCCCTGTTCACACCCGCCACCATTATACGTCACTTCTGGAAATGACATCAATACAACAAGGGAGATACACCCAATGGCCACACTGGGAAAACACATTTATGGGCATTGCAGTCACGTGATAACTAAAATCTCAATGCAAAAAAGGTAATTTCACTCATAACAATTTACTTTATTTAAAGGTATATGATGCATGGAGCGTGAGTTACAAAAAGCCGTTACTTCTATTGTAAAGCTAAGTAATGACACTTTAAAAGTTAAAAATAGCTTTTTCCCCTTGATAATCCTATGATCCATTGCAAAAGACACCTATAATCAGACTTTTAGTTTAAGAAAATTGTTAGAGAATATCAGTTCAATATAAATGGGACTTACATATACAGTTCTTTATCTTCCTCTCTAACGTGTATACCTTCGGCTTCCGTCACACATAGATAATGGTATGTTTTCCTGCACCTTCTGTTATTACAGCCAACAGTAGCTCCTTTTATTTGACAGTGCGAACAACTCTGCAAATCAAACATACATATTAATGTTTTAAATGCTTATATCTCAGAAATAGCATGGCAAAAAACACCAAATTAAAATGAGAATACAAGTTTAAAGAAGAAGGCTCACTTTCATTTTTTATTATGTTCTGTTCCCCAGGGAACAAAGTACATATAGTAATTTGTACTATCTTCCTATGTGCCGTCTAAAGCAGTTTATACACGGACAGTTCCCCGCATACATATAAGTGATATGGATGCAAGGATCTTCCCCACTGCGCTATTGCATTTTAACAATGTGGACACCCCCTGCCAGAGTACACAAATCAGTGCTGCAGTCATTGGCTGCTAGTGCTGATCGAGTGCTGGTTTTCCATCAGCCAGTCTAACAATCGGCTTCTGTTGATCAGACAGGGGTTGTACCTTACCTGGTGATGGAGCCTGAAGCACAGAGGTAGGCCTCTCCTACAGCTCTGGTTCAGGCCAGAGCACAGAGTGGAATGAGTGCCTGATGAGTCTAGATGCTGATGTGCGTTAGGATATGCAGGAATAGCTGGCTGGATGCATGCTGGCAGACGGACAGGAGCTGGCGACAGGCACTGGGCAGCAAGTGCAGGCAGGAGAACCAAGGCAGGGTCAGACAGTCCAGGTCAGCAACTAGTGGACAGATCACATACAGACAGCAGGCAGAGTAGTTGGGAGTCAGACCAAGGTCGGTAACAGCAAGGCAGATAAGCAGAAGCTGCAGGCAGAAGCGTAGTACAGAGGCATGTCAGGGGTCGGTACAGGTGGTGTTCAGGCAGAGTCAGAAGCAAATGAGGTCGGCAACAGAAAATTAATACAGGAACGGATGCACAGATGCTCAGAAACATAGTAGACCAAACAGCACTTGCACAGGGGACTAGGGCAATTTAAATATCCTGTCTGGCACCAATATGCACTTGTGCACGCATGTTCGCCTGTTTGCATGCAGTCGCCATTCAGCCACAGGCAGGATTCCTCAGATTCATGAGCCTGCGCACATATATGCACCTTTCCTGACAGGAACCACACAAACCAAAATTCAGAACATGTTTACCCAGCTTAACCACTTGAGCTTCAGAGGATTTACCCCCCTTAATGACCAGGCCTCTTTTTGCTACTCGGACCTGCACTAATTCAACTGATAATTGCGCGGTCATGCAATGCTGCACCCAAACGAAATTTACGTCCTTTTTTTCACACAAATAGAGCTTTCTTTCGGTGTAATTTGATCACCTGTGCGCTTTTTATTTTTCACGCTATAAACAAAAAAAGGCCAAAAATTTTGAAGAAAAACAATATTTTTTACTTTCATCTATAAAAAATATATAGTAAACTCAAAGTTGGTTAGTTGGTAGTTTAACGGACAATTGCGCGGTCATGCAATACGGTACATAAATGAAATTTACATCCTTTTTTTCCCCACAAATTGAGCTTTCTTTCGGTGGTATTTGATTGCCTGTGCGGTTTTTATTTTTTGCGCTATAAAAAAAAAAAAGGCTGACAATTTTGAGGAAAAAAAAACAATATTTTGGACTTTTTGCTATAAAACATGTCCAGTAAAAAAAAAATGCAAAAATCAAATTTAGTCATAAATTTCTGCCAAAATGCATTCTGCGACATGTCTTTGCTAAAAAAAAAACCCAATAAGTGTAAATTAATTGGTTTACGTGAAAGTTATAGCGTTTACAAATGGCGGGAAAGATACTGGGATTTTTAGGGTTTTTTTTATACTAATAATTGCGGCGATCAGCGAATTATGGCGGCAATCAGGGACTTATGGCAGCGACCAGCGACTTATTGCGGGACTGCGGCGGACATTCTGACATTGGGGGGTACTGACTTGGGGTCACTGATATCCCCAAAAACACTAATACAGTGATCAGTGCAAAAAAAAAAAAAACACTGACACTGTACTAATGGCAATGGGGAGGAAGGGGTTAACTTTATTTTGCAGGGAAGGGTTATAGGAGTGAGGGGAGTGTTTTACTAGGGGGCGGGGGTGTGTACTGGGCGGGACAAGGCTGATCGAGAAAGAGAAACTGTTCTTTCTCGATCAGCTCATCCTCGAGCTGACAGGGAAGTGACAGACAGCACAGCTACTGCAGCTGTGCTGTCTGTCACTGTTTGCCGCCGATCGCTGGGACATAGCTGCTAAGGACCGGCTGTGACCCGGCGACTCACATCTGCGGCGGTGATCCGCGGGACAGATAGGGCGGCGGCGCGCCTCGCGTGCGCCCCCTATTTGTTTACAAAACACACGTTTTAAAACGTGGTTTTTGCCTGCGAGTGCCGCCCTGCCACCGTATATCTACAGTGGCTGGGCGGCATGCGGTTAAAGCTAGCTTTGAGGTTGGACAGGGAACCCCTCTTTCCTCCATAATCTCCTGACATTGCGGATACAAAGGAGAGGGCTGCTTTAACAAACAGCATCTTCATCTCACTCCACTCACTTGTGAGACACAAGTGTCTCACGAGGAAGGCAGGAGGTGGGGTGCTTGTCAGCTAAAATGTTCCAGGCAAGCGCTTTGAGACAGAAGGTACAGTTTGTCAAAGCAGCCGTCTCTTTGTCAGCTGTGTTCATAAGCAGCCGTTGACGGACGAAGGATGACTTGTGTGACCTCACAGCTCACCATTAGACAGCCCGTAGGAAGATGCAAATACTTTATTTGGGAAACTGATCACATTAAAAAAAGAGATTTTAAAAAAAAAAGCTGAACTCTGGGATAAGAAAATATTGTCTAAATACAAGAGGTATATGTATTCTTATTTGAATCTTGGTGTGCCTTGTAGATGTCTTCCATATCTGCAGTTAGTCAGTGTATAGTTAGGCTCTGTTCGGAAACTTCTTGTAATAAAGACTTGTCACTGCTGCTCTCACTTTGTGCAAGTTACCTGGTCTTTTATCCACCCCCTCTTCTAGTTTTCCTGGAGGCAGCCTGTAGTGGATGGAGCCTGTTGAGCTCTACTCTCTGCACAGCACAGTTATTCTGTCAGTGTTACCTTTACAAGGGAATACCTGGGATTGCAAAGACATTTGGTACACACAACGTGGACTTAGATCCTTTGTTATTGAGGAATATATTTAAAGGGGAATTCCAGTATGGATATTTTATACATAGTTACATTGCTCAAGCTTGGAACCATGAAAATATGTACAGTCAGGTCCATAAAATATTGGGACATCGACACAATTCTAACATTTTTGGCTCTATACACCACCACAATGGATTTGAAATGAAACAAACAAGATGTGCTTTAACTGCAGACTGTCAGCTTTAATTTGAGGGTATTTACATCCAAATCAGGTGAACGGTGTAGGAATTACAACAGTTTGCATATGTGCCTCCCACTTGTTAAGGGACCAAAAGTAATTGGACAGAATAATACTCATAAATCAAACTTTCACTTTTTAATACTTGGTTGCAAATCCTTTGCAGTCAATTACAGCCTGAAGTCTGGAACGCATAGACATCACCAGACGCTGGGTTTCATCCCTGGGGATGCTCTGCCAGGCCTCTACTGCAACTGTCTTCAGTTCCTGCTTGTTCTTGTGGCATTTTCCCTTCAGTTTTGTCTTCAGCAAGTGAAATGCATGCTCAATCGGATTCAGGTCAGGTGATTGACTTGGCCATTGCATAACATTCCACTTCTTTCCTTTAAAAAACTCTTTGGTTGCTTTTGCAGTATGCTTTGGGTCATTGTCCATCTGCACTGTGAAGCGGCGTCCAATGAGTTCTGAAGCATTTGGCTGAATATGAGCAGATAATATTGCCCGAAACACTTCAGAATTCATCCTGCTGCTTTTTTCAGCAGTCACATCATCAATAAATACAAAAGAACCAGTTCCATTGGCAGCCATACATGCCCACGCCATGACACTACCACCACCATGCTTCGATGATGAGGTGGTATGCTTAGGATCATGAGCAGTTCCTTTCCTTCTCCATACTCTTCTCTTCCCATCACTCTGGTACAAGTTGATCTTGGTCTCATCTGTCCATAGGATGTTGTTCCAGAACTGTGAAGGCTTTTTAAGATGTCATTTGGCAAACTCTAATCTGGCCTTTCTGTTTTTGAGGCTCACCAATGGTTTACATCTTGTGGTGAACCCTCTGTATTCACTCTGGTGAAGTCTTCTCTTGATTGTTGACTTTGACACACATACACCTACCTCCTGGAGACTGTTCTTGATCTGGCCAACTGTTGTGAAGGGTGTTTTCTTCACCAGGGAAAGAATTCTTTGGTCATCCACCACAGTTGTTTTCCGTGGTCTTCCGGTCTTTTGGTGTTGCTGAGCTCACCGGTGCGTTCCTTCTTTTTAAGAATGTTCCAAACAGTTGTTTTGGCCACGCCTAATGTTTTTGCTGTCTCTCTGATGGGTTTGTTTTGTTTTTTCAGCCTAATGATGGCTTGCTTCACTGATAGTGACAGCTCTTTGGATCTCATCTTGAGAGTTGACAGCAACAGATTCCAAATGCAAATAGCACACTTGAAATGAACTCTGGACCTTTTGTCTGATCATTGTAATTGGGATAATGAGGGATAACACCCACCTGGCCATGGAACAGCTGAGAAGCCAATTGTCCCATTACTTTTGGTCCCTTAACAAGTGGGAGGCACCTGACTGTATTTACCATACCTGGCTGATGCTCATGGAAACTGGAAATCACTTAGTATACCTAAAGGTAAAACATTTTTTTTAGATTTGGATAGAGTGGAGAGGGATTAGAACGTTTGCCATTTTTTTTTTATTGCGGTCTGTGCCGCAATTATGGAGAATCCCAATAAGTGTATATTAATTGATTTGCATGAAAAAAAATTTTTTATACTAGTAATGGCGGCGCTCAGCGTCCTATAGCGGGACTGTGCTAGTACGGCGGGCATTCTGACACTATGTGACACTGGGTGGAAACTGAGTAACTGACAATGACATCTCCAGTGACACTAATCCAGTGATCAGTGCTAATAAAAGCAACGTCACTGTACTAATGACCCTGGGCAGGAAGGTGTTAACATATGGGGCGATCAAAGGGTTAACTGTGTGCTAGGGAGTGATTTTACAGTTTATATTGTAGTGTTTTACTAGGGGATGTGCTGGTTTTTATCTCTTCTTTGCAGGAGATAAAAAAAACAGCACATCCCCACTGACAGAGATCTGTGTTGTTTACATTCACAAATATCTCTCCTGTCAGTTGCTCTGTTGATTGCTGGGTCCCAGCCATGAATCACTGGCTGGGACCTGATGACTGATATCTACAGCAGCCACTGACAGCCCTGGTAGGTGAGCAAGCCTCCCTGGAAATGCAGAATCATGTATATATATATATATATATATATATAAGATGCAGCACACAGCGGCTGCCCTGTAGCAGTATAACTAGGGCAGATGGCAAGTGGTTAAGTAGACACTGCTAACCCATTGATCTCCACTTGCATCCGGGTCTCGTGCTAAGCGGCTGCCCTGCTGCATTCTGAACACAGTGCTTGGCATGGGTGCCATTCAGAGAATGTTTTGCAGTTTTGCATGAAAACCCATTTATGCATAGGGAGAATATGCAATCACCATGTAGGTAGTGTCATGGTTGGGATTTGAACAGATGAGCCTACTGCTGTAAGGCAGAGGTGCTAACCACTAAGCCACTGTGCTACCCAACTTATTGCTATTTAGAAGTTAATATATCTCTTACCAGTTTTTTTCCTCTGTCTATTTCCAATATCACAGAAGGAATATCAAATTCGACTATATTATCTTGTGAGTCTTGCTGGGGTTCTGTAATCACTCCAGGTGAGAAAAGCTGAAATAATTCAAATAAAATTAATAGTAAATAAATACATCAAAATTAGAATCAATCATATGTACTGTAGCTGGTGGGTATTTTTTATTTGCTGTACTATGCAGATGACTGGTTTCTAGTTTATGCTTTTATAGACTCATCGGCCACTTTATTAGGTACAGTACACCTGTTCAATTGCTTGGTAACACAAATTGCTAATCAGCCAATCAAATGGCAGCAACTCAATGCATTTAGGCATCTAGATATGGTGAAGACGACTTGCTAAAGTTCAAACTGAGCATCAGAATGGGGAAAAGGGGATTTAAGCGACTTTGAACATGGCATGGTTGTTGCTGCCAGACAGGCTGGTCTGAGGATTTCAAAAACTGCTGATCTACTGGGATTTTCATCCACAACCATCTCTAGGGTTTACAGAGAATGGTCCGAAAAAGAAAAAAATATCCAGTGAGCAGCAGTTGTGTGGACGAAAATGCCTTATTGATGTCAGAGGAGACTGGTTCGAGATGATAGAAAGTCAACAGTAACTCAAACACTCATTACAACCAAGGAATGCAGAATACCATCTCTGAATACACAACAATTCGAAGCTTGAAGCAGATGGGCTACAGCAATAGAAGACCACACCGGGTGCCAGTGTGCCCATTGTCTGATAGCTACTTCCAGCAGGACAATGCACCATGTCACAAAGCTCAAAACATCTCATCCTGTTCTCTTGAACATGACAATGAGTTCACTGTACTCCAATGGCCTCCACTCTCACCACATCTCAATCCAATACGGCACCTTTGGGATGTGGTGGAATGGGAGATTCACATCATGGATGTGCAGCCACCAAATCTGCAACTGTGTGAAGCTATCATATCAATATGAACCCAAATCTCTGGAAAATGTTTCCAACACCTTGTTGAATCTATGCCATGAAGAATCAGGGGAGTTCTGAAGGCAAAAGGGGCTCTAACCCGGTACTAGCAAGGTATATCTAATAAAGTGGCTGGTGAGCATATATGTATGTCACACAAGTAGTGGCAGAGATATGAATGGCTATACATTTTGCTCACACATACACTATATTGCCAAAAGTATTGGGACGCCTGCCTTTACACGCACATGAACTTTAATGGCATCCCAGTCTTAGTCCATAGGGTTCAATATTGAGTTGGTCCACACTTTGCAGATACAACAGCTTCAACTCTTCTGGGAAGACTGTCCACAAGGTTTAGGAGTTAGGAGTGTGTCTATGGGAATGTTTGACCCTTCTTCCAGAAGTGCATTTGTGAGGTCAGGCACTGATGTCGGACAAAAAGGCCAGGCTTGCAGTCTCCGCTGTAATTCATCCCAAAGGTGTTCTATCGGGTTGAAGTCAGGACAGTCCAGTCAAGTTCCTCCACCCCAAACTCTTTCATCCATATCTTTATGGACCTTGGTTTGTGCACTGGTGCGCAGTCATGTTGGAACTGGAAGGGACTATCCCCAAACGTACCCCACAAAGTTGGGAGCATGAAATTGCCCAAAATGTCTTGGTATGCTGACGCCTTAAGAGTTCCCTTCACTGGAACTGAGGGGCCAAGCCCGACCCCTGAAAAAAACCCCCACACTATAATCCTCCCTCCACCAAAATTTACACTTGGCACAATGCAGTCAGGCAAGTACCATTCTCCTGGAAACTGCCAAACCCAGACACGTCCATCAGATTGCCAGACAAAGAAGCATGATTCTTCACTCCAGAGAACACGTCTCCACTGCTCTAGAGTCCAGTGGCGGCATGCTTTACACCATTGCATCTGACGCTCTACATTGCACTTGGTGATGTAAGGCTTGGCTACAGCGGCTTGGCCATGGAAACCCATTCCATTATGCTCACTACGCACTGTTGTGCTAATCTGAAGGCCACATGAAGTTTGGAGGTCTTTAACTATTGACTGTGCAGATAGATTGCGACTTCTGCTTACTGTGCGCTTTGTGGTGGAGTTGCATGGATAATTACACAGATTGACTTATTGCACAGGTGGCAACCTATCATGGTACCAGGCTTGAATTCACTGAGCTCCTGAGAGCAACCCATTCTTTCACAAATGTTTGTAGAAGCAGTCTGCAAGCCTAGGTGCTTGATTTTATACACCTGTGGCCATGGAGGTGATTGGAACACCTGAAACCATCTATAGTATATATTGTACATTCACATCAGTCCTGCCCTCAAGAAGCTTATAGTCTAATGTCTCTAGCTCACAATCATACATACACATACTAGGGCCAATTTAGACAGGAGCCAATTAACTACCAACATGAGTGTGGGAGGAAACCGGAGTAACCAGAGGAAACCACACAGGCTCTAGAAAAAGCAAGAAACTGCTGCAGGCGTAAAATGTAGGCACCTAGAGGTGTTTTCACATACCTGCAGCAGCTTTAATCACTTGTCTATCAAAGTACATTTATAAATGTCCTGTTAGACAAGAACATTTACTTTTTGGGTCCAGAGCCATTTGCCAACTATTGTTAACCATTCATTAGTGGAAAAAATGTGCAACCCAAAGACAGGATTTCAAAGGTGGATGGTCTCACAGAAAAACATTAGAGCACCTTAATTTAAAAGTAATCGTCTTTATTCCATAGATTTCTAAAGGAAATAAGTCAACGCCAATAGTAAAAATGTATAGGAAACAGCAACAGTAGTATTACAGAATATTATCTCCAATATACAGTATATTCCTAACTTATTATTTTTTTATTATTATACAGTATTTATAAAGCGCCAATAGTTCGCTCAGCGCTGTACATTACAAAGGGGGACAGAACATGTGACAGAACAATAATACAATGCAAAACATGAGGGGATTGAGGGCCCTGCTCTTTCGAGCTTACAATCTAGGAGGGAGGGGATGGTGGCACAGGAGGAGATAGCTGTGGGGGATGGAGTGGTAGGAAGAGTGGAGGAGGTTGGCAAGTTAGGAGGGGGGGTGGGGTAGGCTTCCCTGAAGAGATGGGTTTTCAGGGTGCGCCTAAAGGAGAGGAGAGTAGGTGATAATCTGATGGGTTGGGGCAGGGAGTTCCAGAGGATGGGTGACACCCTGGAGAAGTCCTGGAGGCGGGCATGGGAGAAGGAGACCAAGGAACTAGAGAGAAGGAGGTCTTGTGAGGGGAGCGGAGTGTGCGTGCTGGGCGGTACTTGGATATTAGGTCAGTGATGTAGTTCGGGGCAGTATGGTGAGTAAATGAATACATTTGATTCATATCTCACACTACCAACATAGGGGTTGACAAATAGACAGTGCACTTTGCAAAGAGCAGTTGCACTCTGAAAGTGCAGTTGCTCCAGAGCTTAGTAAATGAGGTAAAGCTTCACTTTGCAATGGAAGTCAGCAGAGCTTTTGCTCATTTACTAAGCTCTGGAGCAACTTCTCTTGCAAAGTGCACAGTCTATTTGCCTTTAGTAAATCAACCCCATAGAGACCAGTAGGAAACCAAGCAGGGCTTTTGATCACACTTTATATTGGTAGAGATCCATATAGCAAAGTCGCAAAACATTTCACCGTCTTGGACTTCTTCAGGGGATTGGTGAAGTTTATGTTCTGGAAGTTCTCAAAATCAAAAATCAATCCACCCATGCAGATGGAGTGCAAATCCAAATGAAGGTAATCGTGTCATTGTGGCAGTTGTCCCTTATCTGAGAAAATGCTCGATTTTGACTTCCGTCCTCCCTTTGAATCAATGTAAAATTGCTCAACCAGCAACAATACACTTGATGGGAACAGAAATGGTATGACTATAACGGGATCCTGTGACTCTTCTGTTTCTATTCCACAGCCATGCAGATTGGTCTGAGCAGCTGGTAAAGAAGTTAACACAAGCTGATGGCTGCAGCAGCAACCATGCGCTATGTATTGTTATGTTCAGCCTGCCAACTTTCATTCAAATGATCAACTGCAGAGTCAGGATAGTGAGCAGAGCAGATTGAGGATCATATGTTCCCCAATCTGCTCTGTGATAAATTAACTCCAAAGTACTCAGCTATGAGCATTTCTGGGTTCAAAGCAGGATCCTAGCTGACATGCAATGTAGACTGTAATTTAAGCTCAGTCCTGTGCTTGATTGGCTGGAGTGAAGGGCAGGGAATACATTAGGGGGTAAGCTCCAAGGAGCGGGGCCCTCCTATCCCTCTTGTATTGAACTGTATTGTTGCTGTATTGTCTCCCGTTATATTGTAAAGCGCTGAGAAAACTGTTGGCGCCAAGTAAATCCTGTATAATAATAATAATAATTTAATAAAAAAGAAGAGTGCAAAATCTGGCACAGCTGTGCATAGTAGCAAATCAGCTTCTGACTTCAGCTTGTTCAATAAAACTTTGACAAAATAACATGAAAGCTGATTGGTTTCTATGCAGCGTTGCACCAGATTTTGCACTCGCCAGTTTTAGCAAACTCCCCCTAGGGGTAACAATTTTAAAACTATAATAATAACTATAATAAAAACAAAAAAAATGTTAAGAGCAATCCAGTCACCCTGAGCACACATGCAAATGCAAACTTGTCAGTAGGGTGAACACATGTATGGCTCCCACTGCTTTTTCTAGGCCAATTAGGAGGCAGAGAGCAAAGACAGCAACCGCTCTTGTGCGCATCACTGAATCGGGGTCCGGTAAGTATTAAGGGGAGCTGTGGGAGATCTGCATGAAGGTAAAAAAAAAAAACCTTTAGTCTTTCCAACTACTTTAGGCATTATTAAACCCCAAAGCAAAAATGTAACATATTGCAGCCTACCACTGGATGTGGTGGCTGCATTACTTTTATTTCTTTATGCTATTTCCCTCTTTTTCCCTGGTGATCTGACCAGTAACCAACCTCCTGTATTAGTCCTGGTTCAGACCAAGGCAGTTTGCCTTTGATTTGTTTTTAAAATGCTTTTTACATTTTGCTTTGCGTGTTTTATCATGTTTTTACAGCATTTTGTGTTTTTTTTTTTTTCATTTTTTAAAAAATTTTTTATATCAAAGGGGAAATGTTTTTGTTGC